GTATTTATTAAAAAAAGGTTCTATTCACTGGTGTGTCTTTTGTACAATCCTTTTTTTTCTTAAAAAAAGGTTCTATTCACTGGTGTGTCTTTTGTACAATCCTTTTTTTTCTTAAAAAAAGGTTCTATTCACTGGTGTGTCTTTTGTACAATCCTTTGTATTTCTTAAAAAAGGTTCTATTCACTGGTGTGTCTTTTGTACAATCCTTTGTATTTCTTAAAAAAAGTGTTCTATTCACTGGTGTGTCTTTTGTTTTTCTTAAAAAAGGTTCTATTCACTGGTGTGTCTTTTGTACAATCCTTGTATTTCTTAAAAAAAGGTTCTATTCACTGGTGTGTCTTTTGTACAATCCTTTGTATTTCTTAAAAAAAGGTTCTATTCACTGGTGTGTCTTTTGTACAATTCTTTTTTTTTCTTAAAAAAGGTTCTATTCACTGGTGTGTGTCTTAAAAAAAGGTTCTATTCACTTTGTACAATCCTTTGTTTTTCTTAAAAAAAGGTTCTATTCACTGGTGTGTCTTTTGTTCAATCCTTTGTTTTTCTTAAAAAAGGTTCTATTCACTGGTGTGTCTTTTGTACAATCCTTTTTTTTCTTAAAAAAAGGTTCTATTCACTGGTGTGTCTTTTGTACAATCCTTTGTATTTCTTAAAAAAGGTTCTATTCACTGGTGTGTCTTTTGTACAATCCTTTGTATTTCTTAAAAAAGGTTCTATTCACTGGTGTGTCTTTTGTACAATCCTTTTATTTCTTAAAAAAGGTTCTATTCACTGGTGTGTCTTTTTTACAATCCTTTGTATTTCTTAAAAAAGGTTCTATTCACTGGTGTGTCTTTTGTACAATCCTTTGTTTTTCTTTAAAAAGGTTCTATTCACTGGTGTGTCTTTTGTACAATCCTTTGTATTTCTTAAAAAAAGGTTCTATTCACTGGTGTGTCTTTTGTACAATCCTTTGTATTTCTTTGTTGGTTTCTTTTTACAAAAAAGGTTCTATTCACTGGTGTGTCTTTTGTACAATCCTTTGTATTTCTTAAAAAAGGTTCTATTCACTGGTGTGTCTTTTGTACAATCCTTTGTATTTCTTAAAAAAAGGTTCTATTCACTGGTGTGTCTTTTGTACAATCCTTGTATTTCTTTTAAAAGGTTCTATTCACTGGTGTGTCTTTTGTACAATCCTTGTATTTCTTAAAAAAAGGTTCTATTCACTGGTGTGTCTTTTGTACAATCCTTTGTATTTCTTAAAAAAGGTTCTATTCACTGGTGTGTCTTTTGTACAATCCTTTGTATTTCTTAAAAAAGGTTCTATTCACTGGTGTGTCTTTTGTACAATCCTTTGTATTTCTTAAAAAAGGTTCTATTCACTGGTGTGTCTTTTGTACAATCCTTTGTATTTCTTAAAAAAGGTTCTATTCACTGGTGTGTCTTTTGTAAAAGGTTCTATTTGTGTCTTTTCTACAAAAAAAAGGTTCTATTCACTGGTGTGTCTTTTGTACAATCCTTTGTATTTCTTAAAAAAGGTTCTATTCACTGGTGTTTTTTGTACAATCCTTTTTTTCTTAAAAAAAGGTTCTATTCACTGGTGTGTCTTTTGTACAATTCTTTGTATTTCTTAAAAAAGGTTCTATTCACTGGTGTGTCTTTTGTACAATTCTTTGTTTTTCTTAAAAAAGGTTCTATTCACTGGTGTGTCTTTTGTACAATCCTTGTATTTCTTAAAAAAAGGTTCTATTCACTGGTGTTCTGAAAAAAAGGTTCTATTCACTGGTGTGTCTTTTGTACAATCCTTTGTATTTCTTAAAAAAGGTTCTATTCACTGGTGTGTCTTTTGTACAATCCTTTGTATTTCTTAAAAAAGGTTCTATTCACTGGTGTGTCTTTTGTACAATCCTTTGTATTTCTTAAAAAAAGGTTCTATTCACTGGTGTGTCTTTTGTACAATCCTTTGTATTTCTTAAAAAAAGGTTCTATTCACTGGTGTGTCTTTTGTACAGTCCTTTGTATTTCTTAAAAAAGGTTCTATTCACTGGTGTGTCTTTTGTACAATCCTTTGTATTTCTTAAAAAAGGTTCTATTCACTGGTGTGTCTTTTGTACAATCCTTGTATTTCTTAAAAAAAGGTTCTATTCACTGGTGTGTCTTTTGTACAATCCTTTGTATTTCTTAAAAAAGGTTCTATTCACTGGTGTGTCTTTTGTACAATTCTTTGTTTTTCTTAAATAAGGTTCTATTCACTGGTGTGTCTTTTGTACAATCCTTTGTATTTCTTAAAAAAGGTTCTATTCACTGGTGTGTCTTTTTCTTTGTATTTCTAAAAAAAAGTGTTCTATTCACTGGTGTGTCTTTTGTACAATCCTTGTATTTCTTAAAAAAAGGTTCTATTCACTGGTGTGTCTTTTGTACAATCCTTTGTATTTCTTAAAAAAAGGTTCTATTCACTGGTGTGTCTTTTGTACAATCCTTTGTATTTCTTAAAAAAAGGTTCTATTCACTGGTGTGTCTTTTGTACAATTCTTTTTTTTTCTTAAAAAAGGGTTCTATTCACTGGTGTGTGTTGTACAATTCTTTTTTTTTCTTAAATAAGGTTCTATTCACTGGTGTGTCTTTTGTACAATCCTTTGTATTTCTTAAAAAAGGTTCTATTCACTGGTGTGTCTTTTGTACAATCCTTTGTATTTCTTAAAAAAGGTTCTATTCACTGGTGTGTCTTTTGTACAATCCTTTGTATTTCTTAAAAAAAGGTTCTATTCACTGGTGTGTCTTTTGTACAATCCTTTGTATTTCTTAAAAAAGGTTCTATTCACTGGTGTGTCTTTTGTACAATCCTTTGTATTTCTTAAAAAAGGTTCTATTCACTGGTGTGTCTTTTGTACAATCCTTTGTATTTCTTAAAAAAGGTTCTATTCACTGGTGTGTCTTTTGTACAATCCTTTGTATTTCTTAAAAAAGGTTCTATTCACTGGTGTGTCTTTTGTACAATCCTTTGTATTTCTTAAAAAAGGTTCTATTCACTGGTGTGTCTTTTGTACAATTCTTTGTTTTTCTTAAAAAAGGTTCTATTCACTGGTGTGTCTTTTGTACAATCCTTTGTATTTCTTAAAAAAGGTTCTATTCACTGGTGTGTCTTTTGTACAATCCTTTGTATTTCTTAAAAAAGGTTCTATTCACTGGTGTGTCTTTTGTGCAATTCTTTGTATTTCTTTTAAAAGGTTCTATTCACTGGTGTGTCTTTTGTACAATCCTTTTTTTTCTTAAAAAAAGGTTCTATTCACTGGTGTGTCTTTTGTACAATCCTTTGTATTTCTTAAAAAAGGTTCTATTCACTGGTGTGTCTTTTGTACAATCCTTTGTATTTCTTAAAAAAGGTTCTATTCACTGGTGTGTCTTTTGTACAATCCTTTGTATTTCTTAAAAAAGGTTCTATTCACTGGTGTGTCTTTTGTACAATCCTTTGTATTTCTTAAAAAAGGTTCTATTCACTGGTGTGTCTTTTGTACAATTCACTGGTGTGTCTTTTGTACAATCCTTTGTATTTCTTAAAAAAGGTTCTATTCACTGGTGTGTCTTTTGTACAATTCTTTGTATTTCTTTTAAAAGGTTCTATTCACTGGTGTGTCTTTTGTACAATTCTTTTTTTTTTCTTAAAAAAGGTTCTATTCACTGGTGTGTCTTTTTACAATTTTATTTCTTAAAAAAAGGTTCTATTCACTGGTGTGTCTTTTGTACAATTCACTGGTGTGTTTTTTTCTTTTAAAAAAGGTTCTATTCACTGGTGTGTCTTTTGTACAATCCTTTGTATTTCTTAAAAAAAGGTTCTATTCACTGGTGTGTCTTTTGTACAATTCTTTGTTTTTCTTTGAAAAGGTTCTATTCACTGGTGTGTCTTTTGTACAATCTTTTTTTTCTGAAAAAAAGGTTCTATTCACTGGTGTGTCTTTTGTACAATCCAAGGATATTTTATTTCAAATATATACACCAGCAGGATAATAGGCAATATTTACTTAGAAAGGTAATTTTCATTTTAATGAGATACATACACTTTAGAATTTTAAAATCTTCTTGTCGACGATGAACCATGTAACACCAAGTTATTCATGCTCAAAACGTTAATATTGATCATTGAAATAATGCTATACAATGCAATGTGTTACATGATTTCAACCTATCTTGATTAGGTACAAAATCATGAAATGATTATTTTATGATCAGATAGCGTCTCCTGTTAGAATACTTTAATATTGTATTTAGATGATTTTAGGATACATATGAATTGAATATTGATGATATTGTGTATTTCCATGTGAGGGTGCTGGAATACTGAAACATATAACCATGACGTCATTGTTACGGTACTGAAGCGTCACACCCGTAAACATGACGTAATTTATTTATTTTTCAGTAATTGTTACGGTACTGAAGCGTCACACCCGTAAACATGACGTAATTTATTTATTTTTCAGTAATTGTTACGGTACTGAAGCGTCACACCCGTAAACATGACGTTATTTATTTATTTTTCAGTAATTGTTACGGTACTGAAGCGTCACACCCGTAAACATGACGTAATTTATTTATTTTTCAGTAATTGTTACGGTACTGAAGCGTCACACCCGTAAACATGACGTTATTTATTTATTTTTCAGTAATTGTTACAGTATTGAAGCGTCACACCTGTAAACATGACGTCATTTATCTATTTTTTTTCAGTAACTGTTACGTTACTGAAGCGTCGCACCTGTAAACATGACGTCATTTATCTATTTTTTTTTTCAGTAACTGTTACGTTACTGAAGCGTCGCATCTGTAAACATGACCTCATTTATTTATTAATTTTTCAGTAACTGTTACGGTACTGAAGCGTCGCACCTGTAAACATGACCTCATTTATTTATTAATTTTTCAGTAATTGTTACGGTACTGAAGCGTCGCACCTGTAAACATGACCTCATTTATTTATTAATTTTTCAGTTATCGTTACGGTTCTGAAGCGTCACACTCGTCACACCATGACGATAGCTTATCAGTATCGAGTGGCCACAGCGAGGCTCGGCACCTTTGTAAAGCTGCTGGGTATATGGAAAGGCAGTATATATAAACTAATGTATAAAGAAGTACTTATTTTTATACTTCTATACACCGCCATTAGTTGTTCATACAGACTGGCTTTAAATCAGGAGCAGAGAGTGTAAGTATATTTTTATTTCTTTATTTCACAAAACCTCCCCCTCTTTGATAAGAATCACATTACAAATTTCTCTCGATTTTCTTGGTGATTAAACTGGAACCGATCCCACTGAAACCTTTCTATATCCCTATCTACTAAAGCCTATCAGTGTCACAATTTGGGGGCGGGGGCGTACTGTAAATTCCTTAGTTTTCGTGAGATATTATTTTCATTTAATTCGTGGGTTCTCGAAGTTCACGAAATATATAAAAGTTGGCATAGATTGTACTGCTAAAGCATTTTGTGAGCAACTTTTTACCAACAAAATTAAGTGCCAACGAAAATATTTATACTTTGAAAAAATAACAACATGAGATTTGAGCCCCACGAAAATTGAAGATTGTACTGTATGCTCATAATTACTGGAAAACAAGTTATTTCGTACTTAACAAATAAATAGCGTGAATTTATGCTTAACAGTAATTAAATACGTGTAATGGGGCGCGTGGACTTTCCATATAGATCTTTACATTTCTTACATACACTTGTTTAATGTTGTACGTCCTTAGTATTAACGGTGTGTTTGTTTCATTGTTTATCTTTTCTGTATCTGAGTTTCTATTTGTGAAGGAAGGTGTTACTATCTCGTGTGGCAATCCATTGATCTTAATGGAGAAACATTATTTTGAAATATAAAACAATATTACTTTTACCAGAAAGTGTGACAACATTCACCATTCACGGCATTTTCTTACATGTACATCTAATAAACAACAATGAATTGTGATATTTTGAATCAATTTATCAACATTCCAGTTTTTGTCGTTCCATTACAACCGAACAGTGTTTCCCCACTATAAATAGATATGGTATATATTCTACAATAACTCCAGAAGTCCTATCACGCAGATTGTATTTACACTGTATATACCAGACTGTTTATAGTGTATCCGTTCTAGCCCTCAGTTTACACTGTATATACCAGACTGTTTATAATGTATCCGTTCTAACCCTCAGTTTACACTGTATATACCAGACTGTTTATAGTGTATCCGTTCTACCGTCTGTTTACACTGTATCACTGTTTATAGTGTATCCGTTCTAACCCTCAGTTTACACTGTATATACCAGACTGTTTATAGTGTATCCGTTCTAACCCTCAGTTTACACTGTATATACCAGACTGTTTATAGTGTATCCGTGATTACACTCTGTGTATTGTGTTACACTGTATATACCAGACTGTTTATAGTGTATCCGTTCTAACCCTCAGTTTACACTGTATATACCAGACTGTTTATAGTGTATCCGTTCTAACCCTCAGTTTACACTGTATATACCAGACTGTTTATAGTGTATCCGTTCTAACCCTCAGTTTACACTGTATATACCAGACTGTTTATAGTGTATCCGTTCTAACCCTCAGTTTACACTGTATATACCAGACTGTTTATAGTGTATCCGTTCTAACCCTCAGTTTACACTGTATATACCAGACTGTTTATAGTGTATCCGTTCTAACCCTCAGTTTACACTGTATATAGACTGTTTATAGTGTATCCGTTCTAACCCTATAGTGTTTATAGTGTATCCGTTCTAACCCTCAGTTTACACTGTATATACCAGACTGTTTATAGTGTATCCGTTCTAACCCTCAGTTTACACTGTATATACCAGACTGTTTATAGTGTATCCGTTCTAACCCTCAGTTTACACTGTATATACCAGACTGTTTATAGTGTATCCGTTCTAACCCTCAGTTTACACTGTATATACCAGACTGTTTATAGTGTATCCGTTCTAACCCTCAGTTTACACTGTATATACCAGACTGTTTATAGTGTATCCGTTCTAACCCCGAGTTTACACTGTATATACCAGACTGTTTATAGTGTATCCGTTCCGTTCTAACCCTCAGTTTACACTGTATATACCAGACTGTTTATAGTGTATCCGTTCTAACCCTCAGTTTACACTGTATATACCAGACTGTTTATAGTGTATCCGTTCTAACCCTCAGTTTACACTGTATATACCAGACTGTTTATAGTGTATCCGTTCTAACCCTCAGTTTACACTGTATATACCAGACTGTTTATAGTGTATCCGTTCTAACCCTCAGTTTACACTGTATATACCAGACTGTTTATAGTGTATCCGTTCTGTATATACCCTCAGTTTACACTGTATATACCAGACTGTTTATAGTGTATCCGTTCTAACCCTCAGTTTACACTGTATATACCAGACTGTTTATAGTGTATCCGTTCTAACCCTGTGTATCCGTTTACACTGTATATACCAGACTGTTTATAGTGTATGTTTATAGTTTACACTGTATATACCAGACTGTTTATAATGTATCAGTTCTAACCGAGAGTTTACACTGTATATACCAGAGTTTATTGTACTGTATATATACCAGACTGTTTATAGTGTATCCGTTCTAACCCTCAGTTTACACTGTATATACCAGACTGTTTATAGTGTATCCGTTCTAACCCTCAGTTTACACTGTATATACCAGACTGTTTATAGCGTATCCGTTCTAACCCTCAGTTTACACTGTATATACCAGACTGTTTATAGTGTATCCGTTCTAACCCTCAGTTTACACTGTATATACCAGACTGTTTATAGTGTATCCGTTCTAACCCTCAGTTTACACTGTATATACCAGACTGTTTATAGTGTATCCGTTCTAACCCTCAGTTTACACTGTATATACCAGACTGTTTATAGTGTATCCAGTTTCTGTATATACCCTCAGTTTACACTGTATATACCAGACTGTTTATATCTCCAGTTTACACTGTATATACCAGACTGTTTATAGTGTATCCGTTCTAACCCTCAGTTTACACTGTATATACCAGACTGTTTATAGTGTATCCGTTCTAACCCTCAGTTTACACTGTATATACCAGACTGTTTATAGTGTATCCGTTCTAACCCTCAGTTTACACTGTATATACCAGACTGTTTATAGCGTATCCGTTCTAACCCTCAGTTTACACTGTATATACCAGACTGTTTATAGTGTATCCGTTCTAACCCTCAGTTTACACTGTATATACCAGACTGTTTATAGTGTATCCGTTCTAACCCTCAGTTTACACTGTATATACCAGACTGTTTATAGTGTATCCGTTCTAACCCTCAGTTTACACTGTATATACCAGACTGTTTATAGTGTATCCGTTCTAACCCTCAGTTTACACTGTATATACCAGACTGTTTATAGTGTATCCGTTCTAACCCTCAGTTTACACTGTATATACCAGACTGTTTATAGTGTATCCGTTCTAACCCTCAGTTTACACTGTATATACCAGACTGTTTATAGTGTATCCGTTCTAACCCTCAGTTTACACTGTATATACCAGACTGTTTATAGTGTATCCGTCAGTTTCTGTATATAACCCTGTATATAGTTTACACTGTATATACCAGACTGTTTATAGTGTATCCGTTCTAACCCTCAGTTTACACTGTATATACCAGACTGTTTATAGTGTATCCGTTCTAACCCTCAGTTTACACTGTATATACCAGACTGTTTATAGTGTATCCGTTCTAACCCTCAGTTTACACTGTATATACCAGACTGTTTATAGTGTATCCGTTCTAACCCTCAGTTTACACTGTATATACCAGACTGTTTATAGTGTATCCGTTCTAACCCTCAGTTTACACTGTATATACCAGACTGTTTATAGTGTATCCGTTCTAACCCTCAGTTTACACTGTATATACCAGACTGTTTATAGTGTATCCGTTCTAACCCTCAGTTTACACTGTATATACCAGACTGTTTATAGTGTATCCGATCTAACCCTCAGTTTACACTGTATATACCAGACTACTGTTTATAGTGTATCCGTTCTAACCCTCAGTTTACACTGTATATACCAGACTGTTTATAGTGTATCCGTTCTAACCCTCAGTTTACACTGTATATACCAGACTGTTTATAATGTATCCGTTCTAACCCTCAGTTTACACTGTATATACCAGACTGTTTATAGTGTATCCGTTCTAACCCTCAGTTTACACTGTATATACCAGACTGTTTATAGTGTATATACCAGACTGTTTATAGTGTATCCGTTCTAACCCCGAGTTTACACTGTATATACCAGACTGTTTATAGTGTATCCGTTCTAACCCTCAGTTTACACTGTATATACCAGACTGTTTATAGTGTATCCGTTTACACTGTATATACCCTCAGTTTACACTGTATATACCAGACTGTTTATAGTGTATCCGTTCTAACCCTCAGTTTACACTGTATATACCAGACTGTTTATAGTGTATCCGTTCTAACCCTCAGTTTACACTGTATATACCAGACTGTTTATAGTGTATCCGTTCTAACTCTCAGTTTACACTGTATATACCAGACTGTTTATAGTGTATCCGTTCTAACCCTCAGTTTACACTGTATATACCAGACTGTTTATAGTGTATCCGTTCTAACCCTCAGTTTACACTGTATATACCAGACTGTTTATAGTGTAGCAGGTAAACACAAGTGGAATTACAGGTAAACACAAGTCGAATTACAGGTAAACACAAGTCGAATTACAGGTAAACACAAGTCGAATTACAGGTAAGCACAGTTGAATTACAGGTAAACACAAGTGGAATTACAGGTAAACACAAGTCGAATTACAGGTAAACACAAGTCGAATTACAGGTAAACACAAGTCGAATTACAGGTAAACACAAGTCGAATTTCAGGTAAGCACAGTTGAATTACAGGTAAACACAAGTCGAATTACAGGTAAGCACAGTTGAATTACAGGTAAACACAAGTCGAATTACAGGAAAACACATGTCGAATTACAGGTAAACACAAGTCGAATTACAGGTAAACACAAGTCGAATTACAGGTAAACACAAGTCGAATTACAGGTAAACACAAGTCGAATTACAGGTAAACACAAGTCGAATTACAGGTAAACACAAGTCGAATTACAGGTAAACACAAGTCGAATTACAGGTAAACACAAGTCGAATTACAGGTAAACACAAGTCGAATTACAGGTAAACACAAGTCGAATTACAGGTAAACACAAGTCGAATTACAGGAAAACACATGTCGAATTACAGGTAAACACAAGTCGAATTACAGGTAAACACAAGTCGAATTACAGGTAAGCACAGTTGAATTACAGGTTAACACAAGTCGAATTACAGGTAAACACCAGGTAAGCACAGTTGAATTACAGGTGAACACAAGTCGAATTACAGGTAAACACAAGTCGAATTACAGGTAATTACGGGGAAAAATCTGCTAATTGATTTTGATAAAAGAAAGAAAGATAATCCTTGCAAAGTCCTAATTGAATGACAGTTTGTCGTATTCATTGCATTTATGTTAGCTGTCTGTGGACGGTCAGTGACATTCTAGGCTTAATATCAGAAGTAGAAATCAGAAAATATATTGTTTAAAATTGAAAACAAATATACAACGTTTATACAGTAAATCCAAATCATCTATAAAAAATATTTGTTTCTTTCGATGAAACTGAAAAATAGTAATTGAGTCGGATGGTAAATGGTGTTTGTCATACCAATCTGTTAACTTGATCTCTTATCAAGTTCGGATAAAAAAAAACAGAAAAAAATACAACAGGTTGACATAATAGTCAGGCAAAAGAAAAGACTTGATTCGGAACTGGACATATGAAGTGAACATATGTGAAAAATGTCAGCTGTCAGTAAAACGATTTCAATTTTCCAGGGTTTAAAAAACCCCAAAACACTAGTTCGTGGACGGTTGATTTCGTGGTAAGATATAGCTCTTTAAGTCTACTTATATTCATTTAAACAGTTCGTCGACATATCAATTCGGAGGTTAAAAGTCTACCTGAAGTCGATCAATGTAAACCCTCGCGAAAACTAAATATTTGACAGTAGTTTCATGAGACCACCATTGCTGTAAACACTGTTTAGAGACGGCCAGTTTACGATCATGAAATGATATCTTAACGATAGTCTGTGAAAGGTATACAACGTTTTTATCTGCGTTCCAAGAATTCTGACGTGTCCTGTAATCTAGGTGACATCACCTTTTCCTCCAGGTAATCCGAAACGAAAGGTCAATTTATCACAAAATCCTCACACTCACCAGTATTGTCATGTTTACTTAATGATGTAAATAAAAAAGATAATGAAGACAAGCTTGGCATCGGTGTACTGTAACTATTATTTATAAAGGTAAATGACATTGTGGTAGCTTTCAGTAGAACATATTTGTTTCCCGTGTTTTGATATATGCGCGAGACCTGGCAAATATTGTAGTCTGCGACAAAATGGCAGGCAATTATTCTTTCACCTTCCACTAACAGAAAATGAAATTCTCAAACAAGACCAAAAGTGATTCTGATATAGAACTGCTTCTTGACCAAATTCCTGTTGCCATGGATACTTGAGAATGGTCACAACAAACTCTGTAGCAATTCAAAATGGCTGCCGCTCAGTTCGAAGCGAGCAGGAGACAGTCGTTGAATCCAGACTTAAATTATGTTGTTTTGTGTTTTTTAAATATGTCGCATAATCGTGTTTTGCCCAAGTTATGTTGTTTGATCTCAAATTTAAAATGATGTGTTATATTTTCTAACTCAATGCATTAGACTTGTACAAGTTCTAGAAACAGTACATTTGGCTTGTCAAACATTTGAAAGCAAACTGTCTTAAAAGAAATATAAACATTTAACGTTGCTTTGGACAATTTCATGGAATGATGCATTGATTTGTCCTTGCGAAGAATTCAACATGAATTCATCAAATTTGTCTCATGAGCTACGCAATTAATTAACCCATGAAATTGATCACGGCAAGGTTCAACGCTTAAATATCAACGGATAACCTATATACAGCCGGGGAAATTTTACGATCGTCAAAGTGATCTCATTGAGAAATATATTACTTTGTGCGATATGAAAGTGGACGTGTTTGATGCTGGTTACTTTGTCTGTTGGTTCCGTTGGGTAATGTGAAGCTGGACGTGTTTGATGTTCGTTAGTTTGTCTGTTGGTTCCGTTGTGTGATATGAAGCTGGACGTCTTTGATGCTCGTTACTTTGTTGGTTCCGTTGTGTGATATGAAGCTGGACGTGTTTGATGTTCGTTAGTTTGTCTGTTGGTTCCGTTGTGTGATATGAAAGTGGACGTCTTTGATGTTCGTTAGTCTGTCTGTTGGTTCCGTTGTTTGATATGAAGCTGGACGTGTTTGATGCTCGTTAGTTTGTCTGTTGGTTCCGTTGTGTGATATGAAGCTGGACGTGTTTGATGTTCGTTAGTTTGTCTGTTGGTTCCGTTGTGTGATATGAAGCTGGACGTGTTTGATGCTCGTTAGTTTGTCTGTTGGTTCCGTTGTGCGATATGAAGCTGGACGTGTTTGATGTTCGTTAGTTTGTCTGTTGGTTCCGTTGTGTGATATGAAGCTGGACGTGTTTGATGCCCGTTAGTTTGTCTGTTTGGTCCGTTGTGTGATATGAAGCTAGACGTGTTTGATGTTCGTTAGTTTGTCTGTTGGTTCCGTTGTGTGATATGAAGCTAGACGTGTTTGATGTTCGTTAGTTTGTCTGTTTGGTCCGTTGTGTGATATGAAGCTAGACGTGTTTGATGTTCGTTAGTTTGTCTGTTGGTTCCGTTGTGTGATATGAAGCTAGACGTGTTTGATGCTCGTTAGTTTGTCTGTTGGGTCCGTTGTGTGATATGAAGCTAGACGTGTTTGATGTTCGTTAGTTTGTCTGTTGGTTCCGTTGTGTGATATGAAGCTAGACGTGTTTGATGTTCGTTAGTTTGTCTGTTTGGTCCGTTGTGTGATATGAAGCTAGACGTGTTTGATGTTCGTTAGTTTGTCTGTTGGTTCCGTTGTGTGATATGAAGCTTGACGTGTTTGATGCTCGTTAGTTTGTCTGTTGGGTCCGTTGTGTGATATGAAGCTAGACGTGTTTGATGTTCGTTAGTTTGTCTGTTGGTTCCGTTGTGTGATATGAAGCTAGACGTGTTTGATGCTCGTTAGTTTGTCTGTTGGGTCCGTTGTTCTATACGTTGTTCTTATTTGAGAACGTGACATTATTAACAAACTAGGATCAAACACATCTACTTTCATATCACACAAAGTAATAGACAGTGTATTTCGCCATCACTATGACGACCGTAAAATCTCCCCATATAACTCAAGCTTACTTTGTTACTTGGATAAACCAATATTTATACGACTTAAGCAGAGTAATTTTATTGAAAATTAGTTTGGATTAAGATTTATATATTGGTGTTTTCTGTTTTTGACGTGGAAATGTCGGTTTTCTACCATAATTGTCAGAAGAATAAGTCGTAGGATAAAGGGAATATTAAATTTGTTTCCGAAGACTCGCTAACTTTAAAAAGCCGTAGATCCATTGCACAAATTTCATATCAAATGAAAGCTCGGTTAAAATATATATATATAAACAGTGGGTTTGGTTGCAGAACACTATTTATGACGTGTTGCTATCTCCATGGAGTTGATGAAAAAGCCCGGATAATGCGCAGAAGTGTTGCGCGGTATATGATGTTTGGTTTAATACTGATTACCCGGTCTGTCAGTGTGGCTGTGATGAAGCGCTTTCCCACCCTGGATCACATCGTGGAATCTGGTACGTCGAAATCATTTTATTATCAACATATAGACATATATTGCGTCAGTAGTTAGATAATGATAAATCATTATATTTTGTGCCGTTTCGAAATCGCTAAGAGTTAGTTCATACTCTCTCTATACTGTTAGTTATTTAGTACAACTTCGGTCGACTTGACTGGTGGACCCTGCATGTCACGTTTTCATTTAAACAAGGTTCAGCATATGATTATCTTTCTTTTCGAAATTCGTCTGGTATTTAAGACAAAATTATTAAATCGTGTGGTTTGAGATCCTCTCACTTTGGTTTAAGGTCAATTTGGGCCATTTTAAACATTCCAAACGTCTAGACTTTAACACTGTAGTCTGCTAGCATCACTCATGAAGCATATGAGTGTACGATTCAGTTTTTATTAGAATTTAACTCTCCGAAACTCCTAGTTGTACTGAAAAGCGCTATTCGCTAGTGGTTGTTGTACTACTGTTTAAACAAGGGCCGTCAGAGACGGGATATAACCCCCGAATAGGACAACATTTAAGCATAAAAAACAAAGGGACATAACTCCAAAATCATGCAACAGAGAGCGATGATTCTTCTGCATTGTACCTCTCCTTATTGTGATCTATCTACCTAAGAAGTTTCATGTTGATACCTCTTATAATTTTTATGTTATGCTCCGGACAAAATTATGATAGGCGGAGGAACGGACGGACGAGCAAAGCGGCGACTATATGCTTTCCGTTCGGGGAGCGTAATAACCCATCTTTAGAATTTCTCCTTTTGTTTCCTCTTCGATCTTCCTTTAATCCGCGATTAAAGAAGACAACTTGTACAGAAGAAATGAAAGTATTGCGGTCGTCATTTCCCAGCTATGATTTTTTATTGTATACAGTCCTAGTTTTCCGTCTGATTCGATATCAATAGATCACTGTTTCACGGTTGCTATCATGTCCACTTCTACATAACCAAAAATCAAGGTAGATTTGCCGGATATTTTAGTTTTGAATTTTAATGACAAGTCGTAATGATTACTTGGAGAATGGGTCTATTGTTCCCTGATGTTAATACCTACAATACCGACGGAACAGCCACGTGGTGCAGTGTCTATCATAAATCGTTTCCTAGGATAACCAAAGTCATATTTAAATTCGATATATATTTTTGGGTGTCGGTTGTACAATATATAGGAATGGTCTGTTTTAATTCAAAATGTATCGGAGGATTATATTGAATCGTTTTCCTGATGACCCCACCCCCTCCTGTAGCGACATTGTAAAGTGACATACATGTTTATATAAAGTAACAAATACAGGCTTCATATCGAAGGACGAAGCCATCATGTACGAGGAGGTTGAGTGTAAGTACAACAAGTTCTGGGTACCGATCCTGTGGGCCAACAGTATACTAGTACAGGCACGGAAGGAGAACAAGATACAGACAGAGTGGGGACTTCGCATGATTATTGAGGTATGTATCTCCTACCTACTGAACAGGGTGATCCCGTCTCACCCTAGGGTTGAGACAGGGGATTCCCATGTCAGGACAATGATATGACGTCACAGTAACAGTTCACTGACGTCACGTCAACACTTAAATCACGTCTGCTATGCGGAGCACTAAAACAACAAAAATAACATGAGTACCGAAAACAATAAGAGAAAAATAACCCTCCAATCCTTTGTTGGTAATATAGGGTGATCAAACATGCAGAAGATGATAACAATGTACTGTAGCCCATTCGACTACGCTTTGTTCAACACTTGGTCATAAATGTGCGAGAGTCTATGGCCCCCCTCGTCCCTGTTTGGTACTGGCCCGCCGTGGCGTATCCAGATGGCTTCCTTTACCAACCATGCGAAAATATTGTTTTCCTTGTCAACTGTTTTTTAATTTCCCTAGTCAATGATATAACTTTGCTGTGTGGAATTATCTGTAAGTGCAGCTTTGACGCGATCGGAAGTTGAGATCTTTTCACAATAGACCAATACTTAGATAGTACCGTCATCTTTCTTTACAAGGAGGGTGTCAAGGAATGACATAGCGACATTGACTTCTTTCTCGTGGGTGAATTTATTGCTACTGGTGGTATCTGTGACCCTTTGTTTACTATTTCCAATATGTCGACTAGGTTTGCATTCTTCGGGATCTGTGGTTGTAGACTCTTTCACCATGAATGGCTCCACTACCCTGATAGATAGTATCTCGGAACGCAACGAGTGTTGTAAGCACAAAGTCTAGTAAATCCACGATATTTTGGATATGGAGATTGGTGTTCTTTCGCCAGTACCGGTCTTGCTCTTGGCTCCAAATGATACCAAGTGCTTTATCAGTGGGAAATGAGTGCCGGATCGTTTTGGATAAGTACCGTTAACAAACTTTCTGAAAGGTCTTTCGAGTTTTCGACAAGATGTTCCGATTTTTCCACCAGAGGTGACATTACCAACATGAAGACAATTTTCCAAATCAACTTACTTCTTTGAGTTTCGAAAGACATAGGTTGATGAGGACTGGGTTCGCTGTCAGGATTTCAATAGGAATAACTCTCTTTTCTTCTGTGATATTAAGTTAGATAAATACGAAAATGGTTAGTTTGCCTGGTTGTTTGTTGTTTTAAGAATTATTTTAATTAAAAATAACATTATTTGTTCAATTTCGACTTCCTTCAATAAAGCAGGACGCCTAGTCGAATTCTGACTGGAATTTTTTCCGGCTCTCCCTGGTTTTTTTTTTCTGTGTCCATGTTTTGCTCTTGTTTCATGATGTGCGGTATTTTTGGTCCATGTTTTATGATTTGTAGTATATCTTGCCAGTGTGTGGTGTTGTGCGGTATATCTTGCCAGTGTGTGGTGGTGTGCGGTATATCTTGCCAGTGTGTGGTGTTGTGCGGTATATCTTGCCAGTGTGTGGTGGTGTGCGGTATATCTTGCCAGTGTGTGGTGTTGTGCGGTATATCTTGCCAGTGTGTGGTGGTGTGCGGTATATCTTGCCAGTGTGTGGTGGTGTGCGGTATATCTTGTCAGTGTGTGGTGTTGTGCGGTATATCTTGCCAGTGTGTGGTGGTGTGCGGTATATCTTGCCAGTGTGTGGTGGTGTGCGGTATATCTTGTCAGTGTGTGGTGTTGTGCGGTATATCTTGCCAGTGTGTGGTGTTGTGCGGTATATCTTGTCAGTGTGTGGTGTTGTGCGGTATATCTTGCCAGTGTGTGGTGTTGTGCGGTATATCTTGCCAGTGTGTGGTGGTGTGCGGTATATCTTGCCAGTGTGTGGTGTTGTGCGGTATATCTTGCCAGTGTGTGGTGGTGTGCGGTATATCTTGCCAGTGTGTGGTGGTGTGCGGTATATCTTGTCAGTGTGTGGTGTTGTGCGGTATATCTTGCCAGTTTGTGGTATTGTGCGGTATATCTTGCCAGTGTGTGGTGGTGTGCGGTATATCTTGCCAGTGTGTGGTGGTGTGCGGTATATCTTGTCAGTGTGTGGTGGTGTGCGGTATATCTTGCCAGTGTGTGGTGGTGTGCGGTATATCTTGCCAGTGTGTGGTGTTGTGCGGTATATCCTGCAAGTGTGTGGTGGTGTGCGGTATATCTTGCCAGTGTGTGGTGGTGTGCGGTATATCTTGTCAGTGTGTGGTGTTGTGCGGTATATCTTGCCAGTGTGTGGTGTTGTGCGGTATATCTTGCAAGCGTGTGGTGGTGTGCGGTATATCTTGCAAGTGTGTGGTGTTGTGCGGTATATCTTGCCAGTGTGTGGTGTTGTGCGGTATATCTTGCCAGTGTGTGGTGTTGTGCGGTATATCTTGCCAGTGTGTGGTGGTGTGCGGTATATCTTGTCAGTATGTGGTGGTGTGCGGTATATCTTGTCAGTGTGTGGTGGTGTGCGGTATATCTTGTCAGTGTGTGGTGTTGTGCGGTATATCTTGCCAGTGTGTGGTGTTGTGCGGTATATCTTGCCAGTGTGTGGTGTTGTGCGGTATATCTTGCCAGTGTGTGGTGTTGTGCGGTATATCTTGCCAGTGTGTGGTGGTGTGCGGTATATCTTGCCAGTGTGTGGTGGTGTGCGGTATATCTTGCCAGTGTGTGGTGTTGTGCGGTATATCTTGCCAGTGTGTGGTGGTGTGCGGTATATCTTGCCAGTGTGTGGTGGTGTGCGGTATATCTTGTCAGTGTGTGGTGTTGTGCGGTATATCTTGCCAGTTTGTGGTATTGTGCGGTATATCTTGCCAGTGTGTGGTGGTGTGCGGTATATCTTGCCAGTGTGTGGTGGTGTGCGGTATATCTTGCCAGTGTGTGGTGGTGTGCGGTATATCTTGCCAGTGTGTAGTGTTGTATATTTTGTAAATTTGTTTTGCTTTGGTCTCATTTAAGAAAGAGATATAATTTATTTAGATTGATCAAGAATTACATGGCGGATGACGTCGATGAAGCAGAACATGTTTCCTTTTTTGGAACACTTGGTTTATTTTCCTAATACCTATTCAACACTCTCTATGTAAATATTTCTTTCGTTCGTATTTTGCCTTAGTTTCATCGATTTTGAATTAGCATTATGTTGTCATGGCGATATTTGGTATGTTGTTTTAATTTGGTTTACAGCAATTAGCGGATTTCCGAGACAAATGTTCTCTGTGCTTTGTGTATGATTGGATCACCGTCCCGTTAGTCTACACACAGGTAAGTGTTCAAGGTGTTTCTAGACTATTTTTCAGTCTTCTAACTGAAAGTCCTTGCTATGACTGCTCAACTTGTATATAGATACCAAACACATATCAAACGAAATCCACGTACATGTTACACATAAAAAAGTACTCTAATTCCGAATGGTGTTACATCCAATTCTCATACGATAATTTCATGGTGCGTAAAACAAAAACCTTTTACGTGGCTGATTGATGACATGTTTATTTATAGGTTGTTACGTGGTCAGTCTACATGTTTTTCGCGGCCTGTCTGATTGGTCGTCAGTTTTTGGACCCGGAAAAGAAATACCCCGGACATGACTTGGACCTGTATGTTCCCGTTTTCACACTGATGCAGTTTTTCTTCTACATGGGCTGGCTAAAGGTTAGTAGGATACAAGCTGCAACAGCGTGTCATTATCTTTCTTTATTAGTTAACGGAAATACGATGTTCATTTTTCACGTGCCTCCTTTTTGATGATTAATTGCATTTTGTCAATTATCTGTCTTCATTCTTGTAAACTTCCAAACGTATTACCTTGAATGATCACACCATAAATAGCTATGTTTTTGACAGAAATTTTTAACTGTATATTTATCTGAAATAGAACATTATGTCCATTACTATCTAAATATAAATTAATAGCCATAAATATGATATGAATTACTGACCATAAATATGATATGAATTTTTGACCATAAATATGATATAAATTACTGACCATAAATATGATATGAATTGTTGACCATAAATATGATATGAATTGTTGACCATAAATATGATATGAATTACTGACCATAAATATGATATGAATTGTTGACCATAAATATGATATAAATTACTGACCATGAATATGATATGAATTACTGACCATGAATATTATATAAATTACTGACCATGAATATGATATGAATTACTGACCATGAATATGATATGAATTACTGACCATAAATATGATATGAATTGTTGACCATAAATATGATATGAATTGTTGACCATAAATATGATATGAATTATTGACCATAAATATGATATGAATTGTTGACCATTAATATGATATGAATTGTTGACCATAAATATGATATGAATTGTTGACCATTAATATGATATGAATTACTGACCATAAATATGATATAAATTGTTGACCATAAATATGATATGAATTACTGGCCATGGATATGAATTGTTGACCATAAATATGATATGAATTACTGACCATAAATATGATATGAATTACTGACCATAAATATGATTTGAATTACTGACCATAAATATGATATGAATTGTTGACCATAAATATGATATGAATTACTGACCATAAATATGATATAAATTACTGACCATAAATATGATATGAATTATTGACCATAAATATGATATGAAATGTTGACCATAAATATGATATGAATTACTGACCATAAATATGATATGAATTACTGACCATTAATATGATATGAACTAGAAATTGTTGCTAACAATTTTGCGTGCTCTTCACTTCTTTGGCGACAATCTTGGATATCGGACAGACCCCAAAAACAAAACACTAAATTCATCGGAAGGACGTTCTGCATCGATCTGATGAAGAAAATTTCAAGAAAATTCAAAATTGAATGTTAAATTTTGAAAACTTTACCCCACAGCGAGCTTTTTTATTTGACATATTTTGTATTAATATGGCGTGAAAAAGGTTAAATAATATTATTGCACAAACTCTGTACAATCAAAGGTTTTCGAGATATTGCCGTTTTTAAGTTTTTAACTTATGACGTCATGGCGGCCATATTGGATTTTTGCCGTACTTAAAAAATCGGCATGTCCAAATTCATATACGTATCTACAAATAGGTGAATAGAATGTATATCTAGCTTTTACAATTTAAAAGATTACGAACCCACAAAATACGGAAGAAGAATAAAAAGAACTAGAAATTGTTGTTAACAATTTGGCGGGCTTTTCACTTCTTTGGCGACAAGTTGACCGGAAGTTGACATTTATCCTGATAACAATATATGAGAAAGATTCCTTGTTTGTTAGTCTCTACAACATATCCAAAGATGAACTTTGAATCTTGAAACGTTAAGGAGATATAACTACATAATAACGAAGAAATACACTTTTTAAAGGTTCAAACATATTTGACCCCTGTGACCTTGAATGTCGGTCAAGGTTATTCATATTTGCAAGCCTTATAATGTAACATCTAATGATCAATACATCCCCAATATTAGTTCTCTAGACCTTGTGAAACTTGACAAGAAGATTGTTGAACACTGGTACCCTATTTTGTATATTTGAACTTTGACCCCTTTGGGAAACCGGAAGTTGACATTTTGAGGGGAGTTTTCCTTATGACAATCACTAGGAAGTTTGCACAGAAGGTTTATAATCAATTTTCATCATTGTATGCCTTCTAGAAATTGAGAAACTTTCATTTAACAATTTTTAGTTAATTGACATCTGTGACCTTGAAAGTGGGTCAAGGTCATTTATATTATCAAACTTTGTTGTCGGTTACATATCCTTCCTGTATATGAAATATCAAGCATCTAGGCCTTCCAGAACTTGAGAAGAAGTTTTTCAAAGATTGGTACCCTAAATAGCTCTTTCCAAGTTTGTGCCCTACCGAAAACCGGAAGTTGAACTTTTAAGGAAGTTTTTCTTATGACAATCAATAGGAAGTGTCCACAGAAGGTTTGTAATCAATTTTCATAATTGTGTGCCTTCTATAAAGTGAGAAACTGTCATTTAACTATTCTTAGTTATTTGACCTCTGTGACCTTGAAAGTGGGTCAAGGTCATTTATATTATCAAACTTTGTTGCCAGTTACATATGCTTCATATACGTGAAATATAAAGCCTCTAGGCCTTTCAGAACTTGAGAAGAAGTTTTTCAAAGATGATATAAATTACTGACCATGAATATGATATGAATTACTGACCATAAATATGATATGAATTACTGACCATGAATATGATATGAATTACTGACCATAAATATCATATAAATTACTGACCATGCATATGATATGAATTGTTGACCATAAATATGATATGAATTACTGACCATAAATATCATATAAATTACTGACCATGAATATGATATAAATTGTTGACCATAAATATGAAATGAATTATTGACCATAAATATGATATAAATTACTGACCATGAATATGATATGAATTTTTGACCATAAATATGATATGAATTACTGACCATGAATATGATATGAATTATTGACCATAAATATGAAATGAATTATTGACCATAAATATGATATGAATTGTTGACCATAAATATGGTATAAATTGTTGACCATAAATATGATATAAATTACTGACCATGAATGTGATATAAATTATTGACCATAAATATGATATGAATTGTTGACCATAAATATGGTATGAATTACTGACCATAAATATGATATGAATTATTGACCATAAATATGATATGAATTGTTGACCATAAATATGATATAAATTACTGACCATCAATATGATATGAATTATTGACCATAAATATGATATTAATTGTTGACCATAAATATGATATAAATTGTTGACCATAAATATGATATAAATTACTGACCATGAATGTGATATAAATTATTGACCATAAATATGATATGAATTGTTGACCATAAATATGGTATGAATTACTGACCATAAATATGATATGAATTATTGACCATAAATATGAAATGAATTATTGACCATAAATATGATATGAATTGTTGACCATAAATATGATATAAATTGTTGACCATAAATATGATATAAATTACTGACCGTATATATGATATAAATTGTTGACTGCACGACCATATCATTCTTAAAGTAAGTTGGGAAATATTGTTGTATCTAGCAAAGCATTTCAAAGATGGAAAAACTAATATATATGTCAGTGAATTAAAATCTTTAATGTTTGAAGAAATATTGTATTTTTAATGATAAAGCAATACATGAACAGAAACAACATAAGGGGACATAACCCAACTATCTTTACATGATCGCGTATTGACAGACGTATGTAGTATCAATGTGTCGGTACCTTCATGAACTACATAAACTGAAACAACATAAGGGGACATAACCCAACTATCTTTGCCGGATCGCGTATTAGTTTAAACACATTTTATTGCCAAAAAAACAAGACAAATGGATTGGGCACAAGTTATATCAACATTATCGACGCCCTCTCCAATCAATATACCTATAAATTGTAAGGCAATGACATACAAGAACAAGATCATGAGGTATGATATACATGTAATCGCGTATTGACAGACATATGTGGTACTAATGTGATATTTATTTCATCGTTCTGTTCTGACAGCGTTATACTGTAAAAGTGACGTATCGGAGAAACTATAATGTAGGAAAATGTAAAATTCTAATTTAGACTTTTAGTCCCCGAAGTTTGTTGTAATCTGCATGCCATGTTAAGTTTATTTTTTCCACGGTCGCCTCGTAGGCTTCAACATTTAGACCCTTAGCATCCCTGACGCGTCCTAGAAGGACGAAACAACTGTATGATGTAGCATCTCTGACGCGTCCTAGAAGGACGAAACAACTGTATGATGTAGCATCTCTGACGCGTCCTAGAAGGACGAAACAACTGTATGATGTAGCATCTCTGACGCGTCCTGGAAGGACGAAACAACTGTATGATGTAGCATCCCTGACGAGTCCTAGAAGGACGAAACAATTGTATGATGTAGCATCTCTGACGCGTCCTGGAAGGACGAAACAACTTTATGATGTAGCATCTCTGACGCGTCCTGGAAGGACGAAACAACTTTATGATGTAGCATCTCTGACGCGTCCTGGAAGGACGAAACAATTGTATGATGTAGCATCTCTGACGCGTCCTGGAAGGACGAAACAACTTTATGATGTAGCATCTCTGACGCGTCCTAGAAGGACGAAACAACTGTATGATGTAGCATCTCTGACGCGTCCTAGAAGGACGAAACAATTGTATGATGTAGTATCTCTGACGCGTCCTGGAAGGACGAAACAACTTTATGATGTAGCATCTCTGACGCGTCCTAGAAGGACGAAACAACTGTATGATGTAGCATCTCTGACGCGTCCTAGAAGGACGAAACAACTGTATGATGTAGCATCTCTGACGCGTCCTAGAAGGACGAAACAACTGTATGATGTAGCATCTCTGACGCGTCCTAGAAGGACGAAACAACTGTATGATGTAGCATCTCTGACGCGTCCTAGAAGGACGAAACAACTGTATGATGTAGCATCTCTGACGCGTCCTAGAAGGACGAAACAACTGTATGATGTAACATCACTGACAAGTCCTCGAAGGACGAAACAGCTGTATGATGTAACATCACTGACAAGTCCTCGAAGGACGAAACAGCTGTATGATGTAACATCACTGACAAGTCCTCGAAGGACGAAACAGCTGTATGATGCAGTTTAATTAATTGTTTGGCTCTAGTGTATCTAGCTCAAACTTTTATTATCAGCTTGTGTGTGTACAATCTAGTTTGATTGAATTTGAGTTTGGATTATGATAATATTCACATGTTTCTATTTTCTTGCATGTTTTTTTATCTCGAGTCAGTGACATAACACACCCCTGGACAATCACGATTATTACAAATTTGACAAATGTAGGTTGCAGAACAACTGATCAACCCTTTTGGAGAAGACGACGATGATTTTGACATTAATTGGTTGCTGGACAGACACACAGCGGTGAGTAAGCTTGGTTTTAATCTACGTTTGAAACAGACACACAGCGGTGAGTAAGCTTGGTTTTATTATACGTTTGAGACAGACACACAGCGGTGAGTAAGCTTGGTTTTATTATACGTTTGAGACAGACACACAGCGGTGAGTAAGCTTGGTTTATTATACGTTTGAGACAGACACACAGCGGTGAGTAAGCTTGGTTTTATTATACGTTTGAGACAGACACACAGCGGTAAGTAAGCTTGGTTTATTATACGTTTGAGACAGACACACAGCGGTAAGTAAGCTTGGTTTATTATACGTTTGAGACAGACACACAGCGGTGAGTAAGCTTGGTTTTATTATACGTTTGAGACAGACACACAGCGGTAAGTAAGCTTGGTTTATTATACGTTTGAGACAGACACACAGCGGTAAGTAAGCTTGGTTTATTGTACGTTTGAGACAGACACACAGCGGTGAGTAAGCTTGGTTTATTATACGTTTGAGACAGACACACAGCGGTGAGTAAGCTTGGTTTATTATACGTTTGAGACAGACACACAGCGGTGAGTAAGCTATCTTTGGTTTTATTATACGTTTGAGCAACTGTTCATCATACTGCACTATGTCTCACAACATTTTAATACACCTGCAGTCAAACTTCGTTATATCGAACTTGTATAGCTCGAACACCGCGTTTAATTCGAAGCATTCTGTCGGTCTCTCAACAACTCATACCAAATTTTCGAACTCACTTTTATCGAATACTCTGATAACTTTTCCCACGGTCCAGCCGACTTCGTGATAACGTAGTTCGACTGTATGTCAAACTTAGTGATTTTTTATAAGCGATGTTTCCACACTCTTGATTTGCTAAAAACTCCGCGTTATTTCAAGTCGAACGGTTGTAAAAAAATACGTTTTCTCTTATGTTGGTAAAATTAAGCAAAGACTAAATGAAAATGTTATACTGTATAACCAAACTATTGTAATGTCATAATTTAAGCTGTAAGTAAAGAACTCTCAATGTCGAAAATTAATTCATTTGAGATGGAACTTCAACATCTTCGCTCATTTTTATATACTATCATATATATATATACCATGAACATTCCTACATCACGAGAAAAACATCTAATAAGACAGTTGACGTTGAAACATTTACAGGCAGTCTGAATTTTAAGTATTAGGTTCCTAGATCTTCTTGGATTTTTAGATCATGTGTTTGTTTATCTCGAACTTTTTCCAGAAACTTAAACTAAATTTGGAATTACTCAGGTGGCGATGACCCTGGTCGACTACATGTACGGTAAACATCCTACACTTATGAAGGACATGCACTTTAATGAAGTGGTGACAGAGCTGCCTTACACTGAAGCATCCATATCGTCCAGGAAACCAGTCTTCCTTGGCTCCACCTACAACCTGACGTAGGTAATCTGTAGGCTCCATCTACAACCTGACGTAGGTAATCTATAGGGTCCACCTACAACCTGACGTAGGTAATCTGTAGGCTCCACCTACAATCTGACGTAGGTAATCTGTAGGCTCCACCTACAACCTGACGTAGGTAATCTGTAGGCTCGAGGTTTATCAAATCTTCCATTTCATTGAGCATGAAATAGGAAGATCTCAAGCCTAGGGAAAGATAGTGTAATCAGCAAGACGAGCCCGCGACCCTGAGTGTTTCCGTCTTAGAAATCTTTCTCCTAGGGTTTGCTATCCTGTCTCTGATCTTAAAGGGGTGGATACTTAATGCTGTCTTACCTTGCTGGCCGCCGTATGAAGGTGTTGTTTTACATCAATGTTTGACTTTGTAGCGTAATTGTAATGAAATTAGGATTCATCGTTTCGACCCTAAGTAAGCCAATGAGATCTCACACAGCGTGAATACACCTGGAAAGGAAGACGAAACGAACATCCTTTTTCCAAAGAGGATAATGCCTGGCTATCTATCAAATACAACAACATATGTTATGATAGTTGAGAGTTTTATGTAACAATTTTAAGAACAAGAAATACCAACATGTTAACATAATCATAAACCAAAATCACATTCCCGCACTGCTTCATTAAAGCGAACTAAGGCAAGATATGAGCATAAGAAAGATATACATCGAGACCCATGAAAAATGAAAAAGGAGAATAAAAACAGGTGTTTCGGAAGAGTAAGCGTTTTCTGCTTCATCGACAACAGCGATGGAAATCTTCATACCGTACAACTTTTCAATTTGTTATCAACCTGCGTCTGATAAAACCCTGTTTTACGAATATGTCCGTCAGTTGACGACTTCTTGCACGAAAACGTGATGAAGGGAACAGGCCCGCGAACAAAGCGTCTTTAATGTGATGAAGGGAACAGGCCCGCGAACAAAGCATCTTTAATGTGATGAAGGGAACATGCGCGCGAACAAAGCGTCTTTAATGTGATGAAGGGAACAGGCCCGCGAACAAAGCATCTTTAATGTGATGAAGGGAACAGGCCCGCGAACAAAGCGTCTTTAATGTGATGAAGGGAACAGGCCCGCGAACAAAGCGTCTTTAATGTGATGAAGGGAACAGGCCCGCGAACAAAGCGTCTTTAATGTGATGAAGGGAACAGGCCCGCGAACAAAGCATCTTTAATGTGATGAAGGGAAAAGGCCCGCGAACAAAGCGTCTTTAATGTGATGAAGGGAACATGCCCGCGAACAAAGCGTCTTTAATGTGATGAAGGGAACAGGCCCGCGAACAAAGCGTCTCTAATGTGATGAAGGGAACATGCCCGCGAACAAAGCGTCTTTAATGTGATGAAGGGAACAGGCCCGCGAACAAAGCGTCTTTAATGTGATGAAGGGAACAGGCCCGCGAACAAAGCGTCTTTAATGTGATGAAGGGAGCAAGCCCGCGAACAAAGCGTCTTTAATGTGATGAAGGGAACAAGCCCGCGAACAAAGCGTCTTTAATGTGATGAAGGGAACAAGCCCGCGAACAAAGCGTCTTTAATGTGATGAAGGGAGCAAGCCCGCGAACAAAGCGTCTTTAATGTGATGAAGGGAACATGCCCGCGAACAAAGCGTCTTTAATGTGATGAAGGGAACAGGCCCGCGAACAAAGCATCTTTAATGTGATGAAGGGAACAGGCCCGCGAACAAAGCGTCTTTAATGTGATGAAGGGAACAGGCCCGCGAACAAAGCGTCTTTAATGTGATGAAGGGAGCAAGCCCGCGAACAAAGCGTCTTTAATGTGATGAAGGGAACAGGCCCGCGAACAAAGCGTCTTTAATGTGATGAAGGGAACAGGCCCGCGAACAAAGCGTCTTTAATGTGATGAAGGGAACAGGCCCGCGAACAAAGCATCTTTAATGTGATGAAGGGAACAGGCCCGCGAACAAAGCGTCTTTAATGTGATGAAGGGAGCAAGCCCGCGAACAAAGCGTCTTTAATGTGATGAAGGGAACAGGCCCGCGAACAAAGCGTCTTTAATGTGATGAAGGGAACAGGCCCGCGAACAAAGCATCTTTAATGTGATGAAGGGAACAGGCCCGCGAACAAAGCGTCTTTAATGTGATGAAGGGAACAAGCCCGCGAACAAAGCGTCTTTAATGTGATGAAGGGAGCATGCCCGCGAACAAAGCGTCTTTAATGTGATGAAGGGAACATGCCCGCGAACAAAGCGTCTTTAATGTGATGAAGGGAACAGGCCCGCGAACAAAGCATCTTTAATGTGATGAAGGGAACAGGCCCGCGAACAAAGCGTCTTTAATGTGATGAAGGGAACAGGCCCGCGAACAAAGCGTCTTTAATGTGATGAAGGGAACAGGCCCGCGAACAAAGCGTCTTTAATGTGATGAAGGGAGCAAGCCCGCGAACAAAGCGTCTTTAATGTGATGAAGGGAACAGGCCCGCGAACAAAGCGTCTTTAATGTGATGAAGGGAACAAGCCCGCGAACAAAGCATCTTTAATGTGATGAAGGGAACAGGCCCGCGAACAAAGCGTCTTTAATGTGATGAAGGGAACAGGCCCGCGAACAAAGCATCTTTAATGTGATGAAGGGAACAAGCCCGCGAACAAAGCGTCTTTAATGTGATGAAGGGAACAGGCCCGCGAACAAAGCATCTTTAATGTGATGAAGGGAACAGGCCCGCGAACAAAGCGTCTTTAATGTGATGAAGGGAACAGGCCCGCGAACAAAGCGTCTTTAATGTGATGAAGGGAACAGGCCCGCGAACAAAGCGTCTTTAATGTGATGAAGGGAACAGGCCCGCGAACAAAGCGTCTTTAATGTGATGAAGGGAGCAAGCCCGCGAACAAAGCGTCTTTAATGTGATGAAGGGAACAGGCCCGCGAACAAAGCGTCTTTAATGTGATGAAGGGTACAGGCCCGCGAACAAAGCGTCTTTAATGTGATGAAGGGAACAGGCCCGCGAACAAAGCGTCTTTAATGTGATGAAGGGAACAGGCCCGCGAACAAAGCGTCTTTAATGTGATGAAGGGAACAGGCCCGCGAACAAAGCGTCTTTAATGTGATGAAGGGAACAGGCCCGCGAACAAAGCGTCTTTAATGTGATGAAGGGAACAGGCCCGCGAACAAAGCGTCTTTAATGTGATGAAGGGAACAGGCCCGCGAACAAAGCGTCTTTAATGTGATGAAGGGAACAGGCCCGCGAACAAAGCGTCTTTAATGTGATGAAGGGAACAGGCCCGCGAACAAAGCGTCTTTAATGTGATGAAGGGAGCAAGCCCGCGAACAAAGCGTCTTTAATGTGATGAAGGGAGCAAGCCCGCGAACAAAGCGTCTTTAATGTGATGAAGGGAACAGGCCCGCGAACAAAGCGTCTTTAATGTGATGAAGGGAACAGGCCCGCGAACAAAGCATCTTTAATGTGATGAAGGGAACAGGCCCGCGAACAAAGCGTCTTTAATGTGATGAAGGGAACATGCGCGCGAACAAAGCATCTTTAATGTGATGAAGGGAACAGGCCCGCGAACAAAGCATCTTTAATGTGATGAAGGGAACAGGCCCGCGAACAAAGCATCTTTAATGTGATGAAGGGAACAGGCCCGCGAACAAAGCGTCTTTAATGTGATGAAGGGAACAGGCCCGCGAACAAAGCATCTTTAATGTGATGAAGGGAACAGGCCCGCGAACAAAGCGTCTTTAATGTGATGAAGGGAACAGGCCCGCGAACAAAGCATCTTTAATGTGATGAAGGGAACAAGCCCGCGAACAAAGCGTCTTTAATGTGATGAAGGGAACAGGCCCGCGAACAAAGCATCTTTAATGTGATGAAGGGAACAGGCCCGCGAACAAAGCGTCTTTAATGTGATGAAGGGAACAGGCCCGCGAACAAAGCATCTTTAATGTGATGAAGGGAACAGGCCCGCGAACAAAGCGTCTTTAATGTGATGAAGGGAACAGGCCCGCGAACAAAGCGTCTTTAATGTGATGAAGGGAACAGGCCCGCGAACAAAGCATCTTTAATGTGATGAAGGGAACAGGCCCGCGAACAAAGCATCTTTAATGTGATGAAGGGAACAAGCCCGCGAACAAAGCGTCTTTAATGTGATGAATTAATCAAATACATAGCATCTATAATTAGACGAATTGACATATGACCTATAAACATATTGATATAACTAATTTCCCTGTTTATCACTAATACTCCCACAATCATTAGTTAGATGTGTACCACAGTCTATAGGTTATAAAGAACGTGAAACAAGCGCCCGACCAATATGAAGCCCGTGATTACAGTGGACTTAAGCGAACTAGAACAGTATTGTTTTATTTTGTGTTCAGAAGAATTCGAAATTTAGATTTAGATCATTCAGAATGAGATACTGAAGTTTGTGAAAATGTTTATCAAATGTGTGTTTAACTTGTAGGATACCTTCTTTACAAGAACAGAGGATCATATCACAGGAGGAAGTTCATATGACGTCACAGCCCAGGCGACGGACATCACACGGCAGCAACTTCGCTGGTTCCATGTTAAGTCTGCTCACGGGTAGATCTTCTACCCAGGTGTAAGTAAACTTCTGTGGTTCTAGGTTAAGTCTGCTCACGGGCAGATCTTCTACCCAGGTGTAAGTAAACTTCTGTGGTTCTATGTTAAGTCTGTTTACCGGCAGATCTTCTACCCAGGTGTAAGTAAACTTCTGTGGTTCTAGGTTAAGTCTGTTTACCGGCAGATCTTCTACCCAGGTGTAAGTAAACTTCTATGGTTCTAGGTTAAGTCTGCTCACGGGCAGATCTTCTACCCAGGTGTAAGTAAACTTCTGTGGTTCTAGGTTAAGTCTGTTTACCGGCAGATCTTCTACCCAGGTGTAAGTAAACTTCTATGGTTCTAGGTTAAGTCTGCTCACGGGCAGATCTTCTACCCAGGTGTAAGTAAACTTCTGTGGTTCTAGGTTAAGTCTGTTTACCGGCAGATCTTCTACCCAGGTGTAAGTAAACTTCTGTGGTTCTAGGTTAAGTCTGCTCACGGGCAGATCTTCTACCCAGGTGTAAGTGAACCTCTCTGGTTCTAGGTTAAGTCTGTTTACCGGCAGATCTTCTACCCAGGTGTAAGTAAACTTCTGTGGTTCTAGGTTAAGTCTGCTCACGGGCAGATCTTCTACCCAGGTGTAAGTAAACTTCGCTGGTTCTAGGTTAAGTCTGTTTACAGGCAGATCTTCTACCCAGGTGTAAGTAAACTTCTGTGGTTCTATGTTAAGTCTGCTCACGGGCAGATCTTCTACCCAGGTGTAAGTAAACTTCTGTGGTTCTATGTTAAGTCTGCTTACAGGCAGATCTTCTACCCAGGTGTTAAACTTGTCTGGTTCTATGTTAAGTCTGCTCACGGGCAGATCTTCTACCCAGGTGTAAGTAAACTTCTGTGGTTCTAGGTTAAGTCTGCTCACGGGCAGATCTTCTACCCAGGTGTAAGTAAACTTCTGTGGTTCTAGGTTAAGTCTGCTCACGGGCAGATCTTCTACCCAGGTGTAAGTAAACTTCTGTGGTTCTAGGTTAAGTCTGCTCACGGGAAGATCTTCTACCCAGGTGTAAGTAAACTTCTGTGGTTCTAGGTTAAGTCTGCTCACGGGCAGATCTTCTACCCAGGTGTAAGTAAACTTCTGTGGTTCTAGGTTAAGTCTGCTCACGGGCAGATCTTCTACCCAGGTGTAAGTAAACTTCTGTGGTTCTATGTTAAGTCTGTTTACCGGCAGATCTTCTACCCAGGTGTATAACTACATAGACAAATTTTATAGTGACAATGTAAGATTGATATATACGGATTAAGGAAAAGAGAGAGAATGAGAATACAGGGACATATAATAAGGAAAACAATTTTTTGTAATGTTCTTTTATATTCAAATTACTTAAAATTTTAAGATTGATTCCCTGGGTTAAATTCAATTTCGTAACCTATATTTATAAGATAAATTAAAATCTTTATTTCCTTTTAAATACAATCAGAGATAAGTGATATTTTGTAATTTTCTGATTGTAGGAGGCCCCCGCTATCCCAGGATTATATTGACTATAGACATATTCCGAACGGTCACATGGACCATTTCTATCCTCAACACCACCATGACAGGTTCGTATCTGTCGACATGGGTCTCCGCAACAACGTTCAGGGTCAAGGGGAGTTTTCCTCTTGGTCTTCGGATTCCGAACTGCGTAAAGGAAATAGACTAGAAAGTCACTTCGGAAGGGAGAGATCTCACACGGACGCGAATGAACGAGAGTTAGAGGAAAAAGACCTTAAAAAAGAACGCCACCGAAAAATAAGCTTTCCACTGAGTTTACTGAGAAGACTTCGCTCACATTCCGAAAAATCACATTCTGGAAGTTCTAAAAGTGTTCAAAGTGATCATGATCCGGACGCTACACCGGAATATGTACCGTTACGGCGAGCTACCATGATACAGGAAGCCAATAAACGCGCCAAACCAAAGGTGGACCGGAAGCGGAAACTGAGTTATCCTCTTGGAATGGTAAAAAGAAAACACAGTGATTCTTCGGACGGGGGCGTGTCACTCGATTCAGTTCCGATAGAACCAGTGACGTCACCGACTAAACCGTCACGGTATGACTATTGCTTAATCAGTAACTGTGTGAAACTGTGCGCATGTTTGCACATTGAGCTTGCGCATTATAGACATCCCTGCCAACATAATGCAAGTACTAACACCGTCAGGCTTATCTTATAACAATATAGTGGCGAGTAGAGGAATGTTTTTAGAATTCTGTCAAAATATTACCTAGCGAAATTAACACCAATCTTAGTTATTTTCAGAACTCACGGTCTTATATAAAAAAATCGGAGCATTAATCAGTTTCAGTATGTAAAGTCACTTTTTCTTCTCCGACAGGAGTTTCGAATTTCTATTTTACAAGACTATAGAAACCTAATAGTCTAGTGTTATATTTATGGACACTTGATTAGCTTACCTTGAAAGATTTCAAGTCCTCCTCTTTAACATAAATGAATTCCTTCAAATTTGTTTACAATTTGACAAGATGCAAGGTCTCTGAAAATAAGTTCCCCCCATCTCTCTCTGTCTCTCTCTCTCCGTCTCCTCTCTGCCTCTCTGTCTCCGTCTCCTCTCTGTCTCTCTCTCTCTCCGTCTCCTCTCTGTCTCCCTCTCTCTCTGTCTCTCTCTCTCTCTCTCCGTCTCCTCTCTGTCTCTTTCCTCTCTGCCTGTCTGTCTCTCTCTCTCTTCCGTCTCTTCTCTGTCTGTCTCTCTCCTCTGTCTCTCTGTGTCTCTCTCTGTGTGTATATCTCTCTGTCTCTGTCTTCTCTGCCCCTCCGTCTCTTCTCAGTCTGTATATCTATCTGTCTCTCCGTCTCTTCTCAGTCTGTCTATCTGTCTGTTTCTCCGTCTCTTCTGAGTCTATCTCTGTCTCTGTCTCTCCGTCTCTTCTCTCTGTCGATCTCACTGTTTCTCCGTCTCTTCTCAGTCTGTCTATCCCTATGTCTCTCCGTCTTTTCTCAGTCTGTCTATCTCTATGATTCTGTGTATATCTCTCTGTCTCTGTCTTCTCTGTCCCTCCGTCTCTTCTCAATCTGTATATCTATCTGTCTCTCCGTCTCTTCTCAGTCTGTCTATCTGTCTGTTTCTCCGTCTCTTCTGAGTCTATCTCTGTCTCTGTCTCTCCGTCTCCTCTCTCTGTCGATCTCACTGTTTCTCCGTCTCTTCTCAGTCTGTCTATCTCTATGTCTCTCCGTCTTTTCTCAGTCTGTCTATCTCTATGATTCTCCGTCTCTTCTCAGTCTGTCTATCTCTCTGTCTCTTCGTCTCTTCTCAGTCTGTATATCTCTGTCTCTCCGTCTCTTCTCAGTCTGTATATCTCTGTCTCTCCGTCTCTTCTCAGTCTGTCTATCTCTATGTCTCTCTGTCTCTTCTCTGTCTGTCTATCTCTGTCTCTCCGTCTCTTCTCAGTCTGTCTGTCTCTGTCTCTCCGTCTCTTCTCGGACTGTCTATCTCTGTCTCTCCGTCTCTTCTCAGTCTGTCTATCTCTATGTCTCTCCGTCTCTTCTCAGTCTATCTCTGTCTCTCCGTCTCTTCTCTCTCTGTCGATCTCTCTCCTCCCTCTGTGTCTCTCTGTAACTGTCTCTCTCTTCTCTCTCTGTGTCTGTCTTGTTTATTCATACTTACCACTCTTAGTTAACATAATATAAATCGGCTTTATTGTCGCTGACTGTCGTGATGAAATACACTTTCCTCTGTAAACATATACTGTACTATCACTGAATACCTTGCCTGTCTTGATTTGAGACAATTAACATTCGCGACTTTGTTTCAATTGGAAAATTTACGAAACCTAATCGCACGCGAAAGAGAGAAGGTTTTTCAGTACATATGCTCTTAAGATGGTAACGAACCAATAACAGATACATCTACAGATAACAATCTGTAGAGACAGGCGATAGATATTATACTAACATCATTCAGCATGTTGCATGTTTTATTTAAACTCTGATTTTTGTATATGTATATATATATGCATGTTCTCCCATCCTTCACTAGCCGCCGTACCGTGCAGTTTGACCCACTAACTTACTTTATGAATGATCCTGACCAGCCTCCTCGTGGCCCACTTCGGCCTTGTATTCGTACACGGAGGGGAGCGAGGGACCTTGAAGGGTAACTACTTACGATATCTGGAGAGAAGTAACGAATGATAGGTCAGCATGGAGAGGAGTAACGAATGTTAGATCAGCATGGAGAGGAGTAACGAATGATAGGTCAGCATGGAGAGGAGTAACGAATGTTAGGTCAGCATGGAGAGGAGTAACGAATGATAGGTCAGCATGGAGAGGAGTAACGAATGATAGGTCAGCATGGAGAGGAGTAACGAATGATAGGTCAGCATGGAGAGGAGTAACGAATGTTAGGTCAGCATGGAGATGACAGGATTGGAGGGGTAACGAATGTTAGGTCAGCATGGAGATGACAGGCCTGGAGGGGTAACGAATGTTAGGTCAGCATGGAGATGACAGGCCTGGAGGGGTTACGAATGTTAGGTCAGCATGGAGATGACAGGCCTGGAGGGGTAATAAATGTTAGGTCAGCATGGAGACGACAGGCTTGAAGGGGTAACGAATGTTAGGTCAGCATGGAGACGACAGGCCTGGAGGGGTAACGAATGTTAGGTCAGCATGGAGACGACAGGCCTGGAGGGGTAACAAATGTTAGGTCAACATTAAGACGACAGGCCTGGAGGGGTAACCAATGTTAGGTCAGCATGGAGATGACAGGCCTGGAGGGGTAATGAATGTTAGGTCAGCATGGAGACGATAGGCCTGGAGGGGTAACGAATGTTAGGTCAGCATTAAGACGACAGGCCTGGAGGGGTAACGAATGTTAGGTCAGCATGGAGACGACAGGCCTGGAGGGGTAACGAATGTTAGGTCAGCATGGAGACGACAGGCCTGGAGGGGTAACGAATGTTAGGTCAGCATGGAGACGACAGGCCTGGAGGGGTAACGAATGTTAGGTCAGCATGGAGACGACAGGCCTGGAGGGGTTACGAATGTTAGGTCAGCATGGAGACGACAGGCCTGGGGGGGTAACGAATGTTAGGTCAGCATGGAGATGACAGGCCTGGAGGGGTAACAATGATATACAGGGGGGGGGGGGGGGGAGTCTACCCGAATAAAGAAAAAAACCTCACGTGTGAAGTATTGATCAAATAATGATAGAAACACTTTGTCCGATTTTGCTTTCTTGCACTGCATGTATTTTTGTAATTTGTACAATTTATATCTACACATGTTTATGTCAATGTATTATGCTTGTACATACGTTGTACAATCTGGCCACTTGCCTTGGAAGAACAGTAATTTAAGCTTTTAGCTTGTCTAAACCTTTCGATAGTTATGTAACCCTTGTAAAATACTAGCCGCAATATACCAATTGGCTAAGGAGAACTTCTCTTTAGCTCGATTGGTTGAGCGTGACTAGTAATCCAGGGGTTCCGGGTTCGATTCCTAGTGGATGTATTGAAATAAATAAGTTATATTTATATCGATAAACTGTTTGAAATGAAACGTAGAGTACAACTCACGACATTTTTCATTATTACAACTGGTATGTGGGTATATCTCTACAACGTTTCAATTTAGTACGATATTTTAAACATTGATTCATCATAACGTTACCGCGGATCATGGTTATTCTCACGCAGTCTCACCTAAAGTATGATCGTTTTTTTTACTGGAAATAGTTTACTAGACATGAGATATTTTAAATGAAAATATATAAACAGGAAATAACTATCTCAGATATAAATGATACATTTTTCGTTCTTAGATTTACTGTAGAACACGTGACAGATGTGCTTGACGTAGATGAAACAGTCCCCGCCCATCGGAGAAACGCACAGATGATTGAGAAAGCTATGGCGGGAAAAGCTGTGTCACGTGCGCCGTTGTTGTCTGCCATTGAGGAAGGTGGTACAATAACGAGTCTGACACAGATCCTTTCTAGCGACGACGAGGAGGCCCCCGAGGAGTCGGACAGGATGGAACTGATTCCGGAAGTTCACGAGGATCAACATCCAGATGATTCGTATGTAAATTACTTTTCAATACAATATAACTACATAGGGGGAGTAATTATCGTTTTGTAATTAAATGTGATTGGTCGAAATAAGTATACAACACGGGAAGTAATTCTTTTGTAATTCAATAAGTTTGGTCGAAATAATTATACACCGGGGGAAGAAATCCACCTCTTGATATTAAAAAACCATTAAAACGATAACATTTACCAACCGTATTTTCCTTGTTCTGCACATTGTAAGTTCATGCATTGTTTATATTCCAGTAACCTCGACAAAGAGACGACGATTTCTGTTGAGCGACCAAGCGTGACCATCCCTCTGATCACTATTGACGATTACTCGTAGTATCTATAACACCATACGTTGTAATAACCCATGGAGGATTGGTCTTCTGTATAATGTCCGTATAGTCTGTTATACTATTTACTTACAAAGATGTGTTAGTTGTTAGTGCAAACGTTTACGACTGTTGAATGTTTGTACTGTCGCCTTCCTCAAACGTTATTGGACAGTAATATTGTTCCATTGAGTGTTGCAAATAATTCAAACTTTTGTGCATTAAAAACATATTCAACCATAATATCGTAATTGTGTTTTTATTTAATCCGTAAAAATTAGTTTACGTTGATTATCTCACAAAGTGTATAATTGCCGACTCTTCAGAAAGTGCACAAACTTTTCATTTTCGGACCGTATATACTATACACAAACTGATGACATCAAAACTACACACAAACTGATGACAGCAATACTACACACAAACTGATGACATCAATAGGACACACAAACTGATGACATCAATACTACACACAAACTGATGATATATCAATAGGACACACAAACTGATGACATATCAATACTACACACAAACTGATGACATCAATAGTACACACAAACTGATGATATATCAATAGTACACACAAACTGATGACATCAATAGGACACACAAAGTGATGACACCAATAGGAAACAAACTGATGACACCAATAGGACACACAAACTGATGACACCAATAGGACACACAAACTGATGACATAGCGATAGGGCACTCAAACTGATGGGAATTTTTAAATTCAAATTTGATGACAACATAGATATCCTTAATCTATCAGACCAGTATAACTATTGTAACGTCTACAAAACAGATCTAGTATCACTTAATCTATCAGACCAGTATAACTATTGTAACGTCAACAAAACAGATCTAGTATCACTTAATCTATCAGACCAGTATAACTATTGTAACGTCAACAAAACAGATCTAGTATCACTTAATCTATCAGACCAGTATAACTATTGTAACGTCAACAAAACAGATCTAGTATCACTTAATCTATCAGACCAGTATAACTATTGTAACGTCTACAAAACAGATCTAGTATCACTTAAATGTTTTCTTCAGTAGACACACGGAGAAGTATGTTATCATCCACAGGAACGCTGAATCTGTGCACTTGGACACGCCAGATGATACGTGATTTGAGGACATGCACGTGCGTGTGTCCGTACTTAGTGTTAGTCGGTCTCCATACATAGCTACCAGATCAAGAATAACTCCATTCGTCCATCCGAACCCCTCCTACAAGGATATGTGAGAAATATGACAAATCTTGCAGAACGAACAATGTTGTACCAACATAAGGACAAAGTGTTTTAGTATTTCCTCTCTAGTCAATGACACCTGTCTGACTCGAACGCAGTTATATACGACGTTTTAGTCAAAATAAGTAAACTATGGATGGTAGGGTGGCGCAGTGGTAAAACATTCGCCTTTCACCTAGGCGATCGGAGTTTGATTCTCCGAGCGGACGTGAACAGGTATGGCGATCACCTGCCCGACCAAGTAGATTTTTCTCGGATATTCCGGTTTCTTCCTAAGTAAGACAACTTGCACTTCTATGCGGCCAACAAAGGTGATAAATAAAGCTTAAAGCTTGTCTCACAATTGTTATAAAATAAAGCTTATATTTGAATATGTTTTATACAGCTACCTGTACATTATACTCCCCTCCGGCACCTCGTGATCCGGGATCTTCGGCACTGTACTGAGGTTAAATAAGAAGATAGTAAATCAATTCAATAGATAGGTATTATACACCTACAGCAACCTTATTTACATATTTCTTAATATGATTCGTCATTCTGGAGGCTCAGGATACCTTCTAATGTTTAGTCCCTCTTTTTGTTGTTTGTTTTATTTTCTGCCACTGGGGTCAACAAGGATCAATTTGATATATGGTTTCAAACCATCTAGCCGCCATCCTTCACTCGTAATCCTACAAAATCTGAAATATTTTCAATGGAAATTAAACAAAATATGCTTGGCCCTGGGGCCATGAAATTCACAATTTCGGTAAAGCACCTGAAGATGCTTCCATTCATGAGTATTTGATTCTTAATTACCATATATGGGAGTTGAGAAGAAGATTTTTGAAATCTGAATCAACAGGACCAATTTTGGGCCCGCCCCTCAGGCCCCTGGGGTTGGAGGTAGGGATGAGGACTGTTTGATTAATAATTTTGGTTCATATTAGGCCAAGGAAGGTGTCTGCAAAAAATTCATTGAAATCGGGTCATTAGGTTTTGACAAGAAGTCGACAATGTTAAATTGTTTACGGATGAACGACGCAGAGTGAAGGTGACCGCAATAGGTCACCACGAGACGTTGGTGACCCTCAAGTGACCTAAAGAACCCAATTACCTTCTCAAACATGGCTCTAGTTCTTTCCCAGCCGATATGGTTACTCCGAATCCATGTTTGGGCTGTTGTCATGGCGATATCAATGAGGGCAGGAGAGTCTGTGTTGGTCAGTCCAACTATCCACACGTGCTGAAGGGGAGGCCAGACATTAGGGAAGTCCCATTGTTGACCAGTGTGGAGGAGAGAGGTCGGTAAGAATGGTTCACATGAATGTTTTACCCGAGATAAATGGTTCACATGAATGTTTTACCCGAGATGAATGGTTCACATGAATGTTTTACCCGAGATGAATGGTTCACATGAATGTTTTACCCGAGATGAATGGTTCACATGAATGTTTTACCCGAGATAAATGGTTCACATGAATGTTTTACCCGAGATAAATGGTTCACATGAATGTTTTACCCCCGAGATGAATGGTTCACATGAATGTTTTACCCGAGAGAATGGAATGGTTCACATGAATGTTTTACCCGAGATAAATGGTTCACATGAATGTTTTACCCGAGATAAATGGTTCACATGAATGTTTTACCCGAGATAAATGGTTCACATGAATGTTTTACCCGAGATAAATGGTTCACATGAATGTTTTACCCGAGATAAATGGTTCACATGAATGTTTTACCCGAGATAAATGGTTCACATGAATGTTTTACCCGAGATAAATGGTTCACATGAATGTTTCGAGATAAATGGTTCACATGAATGTTTTACCCGAGATAAATGGTTCACATGAATGTTTTACCAGAGATAAAAATGGTTCACATGAATGTTTTACCCGAGATAAATGGTTCACATGAATGTTTTACCCGAGATAAATGGTTCACATGAATGTTTTACCCGAGATTAATGGTTCACATGAATGTTTTACCCGAGGTAAATGGTTCACATGAATGTTTTACCCGAGATAAATGGTTCACATGAATGTTTTACCCGAGATAAATGGTTCACATGAATGTTTTACCCGAGATAAATGGTTCACATGAATGTTTTACCCGAGATAAATGGTTCACATGAATGTTTTACCCGAGATAAATGGTTCACATGAATGTTTTACCCGAGATAAATGGTTCACATGAATGTTTTACCCGAGATAAATGGTTCACATGAATGTTTTACCCGAGATAAATGGTTCACAAATGTTTTCACATGAATGTTTTACCCGAGATAAATGGTTCACATGAATGTTTTACCCGAGATAAATGGTTCACATGAATGTTTTACCCGAGATAAATGGTTCACATGAATGTTTTACCCGAGATGAATGGTTCACATGAATGTTTTACCCGAGATAAATGGTTCACATGAATGTTTTACCCGAGATAAATGGTTCACATGAATGTTTTACCCGAGATAAATGGTTCACATGAATGTTTTACCCGAGATAAATGGTTCACATGAATGTTTTACCCGAGATAAATGGTTCACATGAATGTTTTACCCGAGATAAATGGTTCACATGAATGTTTTACCCGAGATAAATGGTTCACATGAATGTTTTACCCGAGATAAATGGTTCACATGTTTTACCCGAGATAAATGGTTCACATGAATGTTTTACCCGAGATAAATGGTTCACATGAATGTTTTACCCGAGATAAATGGTTCACATGAATGTTTTACCCGAGATAAATGGTTCACATGAATGTTTTACCCGAGATAAATGGTTCACATGAATGTTTTACCCGAGATAAATGGTTCACATGAATGTTTTACCCGAGATAAATGGTTCACATGAATGTTTTACCCGAGAAGAATGGTTCACATGAATGTTTTACCCGAGATAAATGGTTCACATGAATGTTTTACCCGAGATAAATGGTTCACATGAATGTTTTACGAGATAAATGGAATGTTTTACCCGAGATAAATGGTTCACATGAATGTTTTACCCGAGATAAATGGTTCACATGAATGTTTTACCCGAGATGAATGGTTCACATGAAAATGTTTTACCCGAGATAAATGGTTCACATGAATGTTTTACCCGAGATAAATGGTTCACATGAATGTTTTACCCGAGATAAATGGTTCAAATGAATGTTTTACCCGAGATAAATGGTTCACATGAATGTTTTACCCGAGATAAATGGTTCACATGAATGTTTTACCCGAGATAAATGGTTCACATGAATGTTTTACCCGAGATAAATGGTTCACATGAATGTTTTACCCGAGATAAATGGTTCACATGAATGTTTTACCCGAGATGAATGGTTCACATGAATGTTTTACCCGAGATAAATGGTTCAGATGAATGTTTTACCCGAGATAAATGGTTCACATGAATGTTTTACCCGAGATAAATGGTTCACATGTTTTACCCGAGATAAATGGTTCACATGAATGTTTTACCCGAGATAAATGGTTCACATGAATGTTTTACCCGAGATAAATGGTTCACATGAATGTTTTACCCGAGATAAATGGTTCACATGAATGTTTTACCCGAGATAAATGGTTCACATGAATGTTTTACCCGAGAAGAATGGTTCACATGAATGTTTTACCCGAGATAAATGGTTCACATGAATGTTTTACCCGAGATAAATGGTTCACATGAATGTTTTACCCGAGATAAATGGTTCACATGAATGTTTTACCCGAGATAAATGGTTCACATGAATGTTTTACCCGAGATAAATGGTTCACATGAATGTTTTACCCGAGATAAATGGTTCACATGAATGTTTTACCCGAGATAAATGGTTCACATGAATGTTTTACCCGAGATAAATGGTTCACATGAATGTTTTACCCGAGATAAATGGTTCACATGAATGTTTTACCCGAGATAAATGGTTCACATGAATGTTTTACCCGAGATAAATGGTTCACATGAATGTTTTACCCGAGATAATGGTTCACATGAATGTTTTACCCGAGATAAATGGTTCACATGAATGTTTTACCCGAGATAAATGGTTCACATGAATGTTTTACCCGAGATAAATGGTTCACATGAATGTTTTACCCGAGATAAATGGTTCACATGAATGTTTTACCCGAGATAAATGGTTCACATGAATGTTTTACCCGAGATAAATGGTTCACATGAATGTTTTACCCGAGATAAATGGTTCACATGAATGTTTTACCCGAGATGAATGGTTCACATGAATGTTTTACCCGAGATAAATGGTTCACATGAATGTTTTACCCGAGATAAATGGTTCACATGAATGTTTTACCCGAGATAAATGGTTCACATGAATGTTTTACCCGAGAAGAATGATTCACATGAATGTTTTACCCGAGAAGAATGGTTTACATGAATGTTTTACCCGAGATAAATGGTTCACATGAATGTTTTACCCGAGATAAATGGTTCACATGAATGTTTTACCCGAGATAAATGGTTCACATGAATGTTTTACCCGAGATGAATGGTTCACATGAATGTTTTACCCGAGATAAATGGTTCACATGAATGTTTTACCCGAGATAAATGGTTCACATGAATGTTTTACCCGAGATAAATGGTTCACATGAATGTTTTACCCGAGATAAATGGTTCACATGAATGTTTTACCCGAGAAGAATGGTTCACATGAATGTTTTACCCGAGATAAATGGTTCACATGAATGTTTCGAGATAAATGGTTCACATGAATGTTTTACCCGAGATAAATGGTTCACATGAATGTTTTACCCGAGATAAATGGTTCACATGAATGTTTTACCCGAGATAAATGGTTCACATGAATGTTTTACCCGAGATAAATGGTTCACATGAATGTTTTACCCGAGATAAATGGTTCACATGAATGTTTTACCCGAGATAAATGGTTCACATGAATGTTTTACCCGAGATAAATGGTTCACATGAATGTTTTACCCGAGATAAATGGTTCATATGAATGTTTTACCCGAGATAAATGGTTCACATGAATGTTTTACCCGAGATAAATGGTTCACATGAATGTTTTACCCGAGATAAATGGTTCACATGAATGTTTTACCAGAGATAAATGGTTCACATGAATGTTTTACCCGAGATAAATGGTTCACATGAATGTTTTACCCGAGATAAATGGTTCACATGAATGTTTTACCCGAGATAAATGGTTCACATGAATGTTTTACCCGAGATAAATGGTTCACATGAATGTTTTACCAGAGATAAATGGTTCACATGAATGTTTTACCCGAGATAAATGGTTCACATGAATGTTTTACCCGAGATAAATGGTTCACGTGAATGTCTTACATGAGATAAATGCTCACATGAATGTTTTACCCGAGATAAATGGTTCACATGAATGTTTTACCCGAGATAAATGGTTCACATGAATGTTTCGAGATAAATGGTTCACATGAATGTTTTACCCGAGATAAATGGTTCACATGAATGTTTTACCCGAGATAAATGGTTCACATGAATGTTTTACCTGAGATAAATGGTTCACATGAATGTTTTACCCGAGATAAATGGTTCACATGAATGTTTTACCCGAGATGAATGGTTCACATGAATGTTTTACCCGAGAAGAATGGTTCACATGAATGTTTTACCCGAGATAAATGGTTCACATGAATGTTTTACCCGAGATAAATGGTTCATATGAATGTTTTACCCGAGATAAATGGTTCACATGAATGTTTTACCCGAGATAAATGGTTCACATGAATGTTTCGAGATAAATGGTTCACATGAATGTTTTACCCGAGATAAATGGTTCACATGAATGTTTTACCCGAGATAAATGGTTCACATGAATGTTTTACCCGAGATAAATGGTTCACATGAATGTTTTACCCAAGATAAATGGTTCACATGAATGTTTTACCCGAGATAAATGGTTCACATGAATGTTTTACCCGAGATGAATGGTTCACATGAATGTTTTACCCGAGATAAATGGTTCACATGAATGTTTTACCCGAGATAAATGGTTCACATGAATGTTTTACCCGAGATAAATGGTTCACATGAATGTTTTACCCGAGATAAATGGTTCACATGAATGTTTTACCCGAGATTAATGGTTCACATGAATGTTTTACCCGAGATAAATGGTTCACATGAATGTTTTACCCGAGATAAATGGTTCACATGAATGTTTTACCCGAGATAAATGGTTCACATGAATGTTTTACCCGAGATAAATGGTTCACATGAATGTTTTACCCGAGATAAATGGTTCACATGAATGTTTTACCCGAGATAAATGGTTCACATGAATGTTTTACCCGAGATAAATGGTTCACATGAATGTTTTACCCGAGATAAATGGTTCACATGAATGTTTTACCCGAGATAAATGGTTCACATGAATGTTTTACCCGAGATGAATGGTTCACATGAATGTTTTACCCGAGATAAATGGTTCACATGAATGTTTTACCCGAGATAAATGGTTCACATGAATGTTTTACCCGAGATAAATGGTTCACATGAATGTTTTACCAGAGAAGAATGGTTCACATGAATGTTTTACCCGAGATAAATGGTTCACATGAATGTTTTACCCGAGATAAATGGTTCACATGAATGTTTTACCCGAGATAAATGGTTCACATGAATGTTTTACCCGAGATAAATGGTTCACATGAATGTTTTACCCGAGATAAATGGTTCACATGAATGTTTTACCCGAGATAAATGGTTCACATGAATGTTTTACCCGAGATGAATGGTTCACATGAATGTTTTACCCGAGATAAATGGTTCACATGAATGTTTTACCCGAGATAAATGGTTCACATGAATGTTTTACCCGAGATAAATGGTTCACATGAATGTTTTACCCGAGATAAATGGTTCACATGAATGTTTTACCCGAGATAAATGGTTCACATGAATGTTTTACCCGAGATAAATGGTTCACATGAATGTTTTACCTGAGATAAATGGTTCACATGAATGTTTTACCCGAGATAAATGGTTCACATGAATGTTTTACCCGAGATAAATGGTTCACATGAATGTTTTACCCGAGATAAATGGTTCACATGAATGTTTTACCCGAGATAAATGGTTCACATGAATGTTTCGAGATAAATGGTTCACATGAATGTTTTACCAGAGATAATGGTTCACATGAATGTTTTACCCGAGATAAATGGTTCACATGAATGTTTTACCCGAGATAAATGGTTCACATGAATGTTTTACCCGAGATAAATGGTTCACATGAATGTTTTACCCGAGATAAATGGTTCACATGAATGTTTTACCCGAGATAAATGGTTCACATGAATGTTTTACCCGAGATAAATGGTTCACATGAATGTTTTACCCGAGATGAATGGTTCACATGAATGTTTTACCCGAGATAAATGGTTCACATGAATGTTTTACCCGAGATAAATGGTTCACATGAATGTTTTACCCGAGATAAATGGTTCACATGAATGTTTCGAGATAAATGGTTCACATGAATGTTTTACCCGAGATAAATGGTTCACATGAATGTTTTACGAGATGAATGGTTCACATGAATGTTTTACCCGAGATAAATGGTTCACATGAATATTTTACCAGAGAAGAATGGTTCACATGAATGTTTTACCCGAGATGAATGGTTCACATGAATGTTTTACCCGAGATAAATGGTTCACATGAATGTTTTACCCGAGATAAATGGTTCACATGAATGTTTTACCCGAGATAAATGGTTCACATGAATGTTTTACCCGAGATAAATGGTTCACATGAATGTTTTACCCGAGATAAATGGTTCACATGAATGTTTTACCCGAGATAAATGGTTCACATGAATGTTTTACCCGAGATAATGGTTCACATGAATGTTTTACCCGAGATAAATGGTTCACATGAATGTTTTACCCGAGATAAATGGTTCACATGAATGTTTTACCCGAGATAAATGGTTCACATGAATGTTTTACCCGAGATAAATGGTTCACATGAATGTTTTACCCGAGATAAATGGTTCACATGAATGTTTTACCCGAGATAAATGGTTCACATGAATGTTTTACCCGAGATAAATGTTCACATGAATATTTTACCCGAGATAATGGTTCACATGAATGTCTTACATGAGATAAATGCTCACATGAATGTTTTACCCGAGATTTACGGTTCACATGAAGAAGATGTTTTACATACCCCCGTCAAAAGTGAATAGTATCGTGAATGAAAGGGAAAAAGAATGTTTTAATCAGTTCTTGTTTGAAGGTATTTTTTCACGAGTCTACTTCTGCTCTCTGGGAGTTACCTCCCTTCGTTGAGTGATAAGTTTTGTCTAAGGCAGTGGTGTTTTACATCGTATGTTTCAGATGATATCTCATGCGTGTGAAATCAAGAATTTTTTAATATTGTCGATACAAACCTTGATGTAAGATTCTACAGCTGATAGTTGGCGTTTGAATTTAGCATCGTCCATGTCACCACAGCCGACGAATAGAGGGAATATATTGGATGCATAAAAGTTGGCCCTAGATTCATTTTGGCTGTAAGAGAAATCGAACCACATGCCAGCCTCCTCGTTCCATAGCACAGTGTTAATAGCTGATCGGCGTTCCCTGTGCCGCCAAGTATAGTACTCTGTCTTGGCTGTTTCACCTGACAATAACATTTATTTTAGTCGGGATCTGATATATTAGTCAGGATCTGGTGTTTGAGTCAGGATCTTGTGTTTGAGTCAGGATCTGGTGTTTGAATCAGGATCTGGTGTTTGAGTCAGAATCTGGTGTTTGAGTCAGGATCTGGTGTTTGAGTCAGGATCTGGTGTTTGAGTCAGAATCTGGTGTTTGAGTCAGGATCTGGTGTTTGAGTCAGGATCTGGTGTTTGAGTCAGGATCTGATATATTAGTCAAGATCTGGTGTTTGAGTCAGGATCTTGTGTTTGAGTCAGGATCTGGTGTTTGAGTCAGGATCTGGTGTTTGAGTCAGGATCTGATATATTAGTCAGGATCTGGTGTTTGAGTCAGGATCTGGTGTTTGAATCAGGATCTGGTGTTTGAGTCAGGATCTGATGTTTGAGTCAGGATCTGGTGTTTGAGTCAGGATCTGGTGTTTGAGTCAGGATCTGGTGTTTGAGTCAGGATCTGATGTTTGAGTCAGGATCTGATGTTTGAGTCAGGATCTGATGTTTGAGTCAGGATCTGGTGTTTGAGTCAGGATCTGGTGTTTGAGTCAGGATCTGGTGTTTGGGTCAGGATATGATGTTTGAGTCAGGATCTGGTGTTTGAGTCAGGATCTGGTGTTTGAGTCAGGATCTGATGTTTGAGTCAGGATCTGATGTTTGAGTCAGGATCTGGTGTTTGGGTCAGGATATGATGTTTGAGTCAGGATCTGATGTTTGAGTCAGGATCTGGTGTTTGAGTCAGGATCTGATGTTTGAGTCAGGATCTGGTGTTTGAGTCAGGATCTAAAATCTTATTCAGGATATTCTAGTTAAGATCTTCTATCTAAACCGCGATCTTCGAGTTAAGTCAGTATCTGAAATTTTAGCCTTGACCTTCTATTTTAGTCAAGAATTTATTTTTAGCCAGGAACTTCCTTTTAGTCCGGATCTCCGATTTAGGTTTTAGTCAGGATTTTATTCTCCGATTTATTCTGAATTGCTATTACCTTTTTTTTCTATTGATGTGTGAAATCAATGAACAGCGTGAAGATAACTACACAGATTTTATACTCATGAGTAGGTAATATTACGGTAAATATGAACTAGGGTAGCTGAGAGAAGAAATACATTGATAGAATATAAGGATTAACTATATATCTGTTTACGTTATTGAGCAATAATAAAAAAATCCCGGAATGCAGCATGAATAAACCGATACGTAATACTTATGAGTTAAGTCAATAGCCAATGAAACGTGACAACACAAAGCCACGTCAATAATCAATCCAATCAACCGTGACAATACAAAGCTACGTCAATAGCCAATCAAACGTGACAATACAAAGCTACGTCAATAGCCAATCAAACGGGACAATACAAAGCCACGTCAATAGCCAATCAAACGTGACAATACAAAGCTACGTCAATAGCCAATCAAACGTGACAATACAAAGCTACGTCAATAGCCAATCCAATCAACCGTGACAATACAAAGCTACGTCAATAGCCAATCAAACGTGACAATACAAAGCCACGTCAATAATCAATCCAATCAACCGTGACAATACAAAGCTACGTCAATAGCCAATAAAACGTGACAACACAAAGCCACGTCAATAATCAATCCAATCAACCGTGACAATACAAAGCTACGTCAATAGCCAATCAAACGTGACAATACAAAGCTACGTCAATAGCCAATCAACCGTGACAACACAAAGCCACGTCAATAATCAATCCAATCAACCGTGACAATACAAAGCTACGTCAATAGCCAATCAACCGTGACAACACAAAGCCACGTCAATAATCAATCCAATCAACCGTGACAATACAAAGCTACGTCAATAGCCAATAAAACGTGACAACACAAAGCCACGTCAATAATCAATCCAATCAACCGTGACAATACAAAGCTACGTCAATAGCCAATCAACCGTGACAATACAAAGCCACGTCAATAATCAATCCAATCAACCGTGACAATACAAAGCTACGTCAATAGCCAATCAACCGTGACAACACAAAGCCACGTCAATAATCAATCCAATCAACCGTGACAATACAAAGCCACGTCAATAGCCAATCCAATCAACCGTGACAATACAAAGCTACGTCAATAGCCAATAAAACGTGACAACACAAAGCCACGTCAATAATCAATCCAATCAAACGTGACAATACAAAGCCACGTCAATAGCCAATCCAATCAACCGTGACAATACAAAGCTACGTCAATAGCCAATAAAACGTGACAACACAAAGCCACGTCAATAATCAATCCAATCAACCGTGACAATACAAAGCCACGTCAATAGCCAATCCAATCAACCGTGACAATACAAAGCCACGTCAATAATCAATCCAATCAACCGTGACAACACAAAGCCACGTCAATAATCAATCCAATCAACCGTGACAATACAAAGCTACGTCAATAGCCAATCAAACGTGACAACACAAAGCCACGTCAAAAGCCAATCAAACGTGACAATACAAAGCCACGTCAATAGCCAATCAAACGTGACAATACAAAGCCACGTCAATAGCCAATCAAACGTGACAATACAAAGCCACGTCAATAGCCAATAAAACGTGACAACACAAAGCCACGTCAATAATCAATCCAATCAACCGTGACATTACAAAGCTACGTCAATAGCCAATCAACCGTGACAACACAAAGCCACGTCAATAATCAATCCAATCAACCGTGACAATACAAAGCTACGTCAATAGCCAATAAAACGTGACAATACAAAGCCAATCAAACGTGACAACACAAAGCCACGTCAATAATCAATCCAATCAACCGTGACAATACAAAGCCACGTCAATAGCCAATCAAACGTGACAATACAAAGCCACGTCAATACTTACATGTTGTTAGATGATAAGATAAAAAGTTCCAGTGAAAAAAAATCATTTTCTTTATAGATTTGTAACATAAATCTGCTCAACATCGATTTCATACGTATACGTGTTAATGTTAGCGTTACCTAGGTACCTTTGTCACTTGCTTCCTTGGATTTTTCCAGTTTCCGTTCTACATTATACGCCATCGACATGACTTCCATTAAGAGATCTTATTTTTACAAAATATTCAGGGGAATGAAATTTGTTGCTTGATATTTTTACATTGGAATGTACCATTGCTATATTTTTGACGTACCTATCACAGTAAAAATCTCCGCCAGTAGTTTTTGATTCCAACAGAGAATAGAGTTTAGATCTACAGGAATAATGTCCTTCGTATCGGTGGCCTGAAGTCCCAAGTCCTCCACGGTAGTATCATTTCTCCGACGTGAGTACCAGCGAGAGGAAAAGTCCCAGCCGGATTCACATGCGGAGACAAGATTGGAGTACAACTCTAAACCGTCCTCTGTGTCAGAAAAATAATAATAAAAAACAACAAGAAATTACCGACATGTCAAAATAATAATAGTCAAAACTAGAATTAAGCAAAATTAGGACAAACTATGAACTATGACTCCCGAAAAAGTGCAAGGAGAATAAGACCAGTTGTTCTGGAAGAGTAAGCGCCTTCTGTTTCACCGACGTCACTCGCCATGTAACCTTTGTCAATCAAAGAAAATTATGTTAATAATTTCTTTACAATGCTGGTGCTTAGTATTTTAATAGTGGATTGGATAAAAATTGATAAAGAAACGTGCAACGCGGTCGTTACACCGTAGGAATCAACCTGAACCAAGAGAAACGAAAAGAAATTGTTTTTGTTGTAGTTGAATAACACAGACACCGAAAAACGAGAAAATATAGACATATCAACAGAATCGTAATTCAAACTCAAAATAAAGCAAAATATGAACAAAAAACACATGGCTGCTCCTGAATAAGTACTAGGAAAATAGGACCTTGTGATCCAGAAGAATCAGCGTCTTCTGCTTCATCAACTCTGAGAGCTGTCAGCTGTTGCAGGTGTAACGTTATATTATATACGTACCTTGAGACAGACCTGCCGTTACAGAAATATCTTCCGCGTATGACTCTGGCCTACAAAAGATGTGGAAATGTTTTATTATAGTTATTTAAAGATGAGGATTTACAAGAAAGGGTCCAATAAATCATGTTTTATCTAACACAATGGTTTATATTACAATGCGAGACCTCGAAATGAAACGAAACCTAAAACAGATTATAATGGACTAGAATTTGCAGAGTGTTGAGCTTAAAAAGCCTGTGTTTACTGATGCGTTAACATGTAGACTGACTAAGAATGGATCTCCTGCTAGCATCAAGCATCTCGGTATTTACATGACAAGTCGCCCAAACTTCAGAATGCTTCTGGGGTATGCTGATAGGAAGGCCAAATTCACGTCATTTACATGCAAAAACTGTGTACTTTTTTATCAGATACTCGAAGCAGATATTGAGAATTTAAGAAAATTGTTTCCCGAATTCGAAAAAAAGATGATAGTCAAAAAAAAAAAAATTTGTGTAGACCACAACTTTGACTTCCTTGGATTATATTATGTAAACAAAAATTGTCGACGTTTTAAAGTGCTCTGTATTGCTAGACTTTATTGGCTAATGAAAGGAACGATAGATGATGGTCAGGAAAGGAGATAGCTTTTGTAATGTTTTCATACGTTTGAGATTGTGTCAAAATTCACCAAAGATTTATTTTGTACGTGCATGAGGAACAACAACGCCACCTAGTGGCACACCACGGACAAAATGATTTCAACCTTATTCCCCTTTCGAATAGTTGAAATAATGTTGCTTTTTCCCTAAATGGGCCCCGCCTCCGCTATCCTTTGGATTAGGTAGTCGGACCAGAGTTAGGGTCAGTTTGAATCTGTCCATATATTTGATATTATGTAAATTTCGAAGAGTTTCAATGACGCTATAATTCGAGGAAGAAATATAAATATGAAAATATTACCATGAAAAAAAACCCATTGATAACGATCATTATTCCATGACTCTTATGAATATGCATTACATATTGTGTGGAGATTTATAACTATAGAATCTCTAGGATATCTACTACATGTTGTGTGAAGATTCATAACTATAGAATCTCTAGGATATTTACTACATGTTGTGTGAAGATTTATAACTATAGAATCTCTAGGATATCTACTACATGTTTTATGGAGATTTATAACTATAGAATCTCTAGGATATCTACTACATGTTTTATGTTTTATGGAGATTTATAACTATAGAATCTCTAGGATATTTACTACATGTGTGGCGATTTATAACTATAGAATATCTAGGATATTTACTACATGTTGTGTGAAGATTCATAACTATAGAATCTCTAGGATATTTACTACATGTTGTGTGGCGATTTATAACTATAGAATCTCTAGGATATCTACTACATGTTTTATGGAGATTTATAACTATAGAATCTCTAGGATATCTACTACATGTTTTATGGAGATTTATAACTATAGAATCTCTAGGATATTTACTTCATGTTGTGTGGCGATTTATAACTATAGAACCTCTATTATATCTACTACATGTTGTGTGGAGATTTATAACTATAGAATCTCTAGGATATTTACTACATGTTGTGTGGCGATTTATAACTATAGAATCTCTAGGATATCTACTACATGTTTTATGGAGATTTATAACTATAGAATATCTAGGATATTTACTACATGTTGTGTGAAGATTTATAACTATAGAACCTCTATTATATCTACTACATGTTGTGTGGAGATTTACAACTGTAGAATCTTTCGGATATCTACTTCATGTTGTGTGGAGATTTATAACTGTAGAATGTCTAGGATATTTACTACATGTTATGTGCAGAATTATAACTATAGAATCTCTAGAATATTTACTACATGTTGTGTGGCGATTTATAACTATAGAATCTCTAGGATATCTACTACATGTTTTATGGAGATTTATAACTATAGAATCTCTAGGATATCTACTACATGTTGTGTGGAGATTTATAACTGTAGAATCTTTCGGATATCTACTACTTGCTGTTTTAGGGTTGTGGTAAAACTGTAAATATCTAAACCGCCCAAGACAACACATTACACCAGGTTCGTGTGAAGGATTCTTACCTTGGAGCGGCCATATCTACAGCGTACCGAGCGAGAGAGTACGTCTCGTCTCCTTTACTGATATTCAGTGATCGATTGTCTACCCAGAATTGGTACTCCTTCTCCAGGGTGGCGATATTGTCGCGAAGGAAATCTATATCTCCTGTACTCTTGTAATACTCGTAGACCATGGGGATAAACAAAGGAGGCTGGGATCGTTTCCGGTAGTAAACCCGACCGCCATTAGGTATATGTCCTAATCTAAAAAAAACCAAGTTATAATATATAAACCTATCATTTCAAATATCTCAATACAACAGCAAGGCTGAATTGTATAATGTTCATCCTCGATACTCCAGGAGTGACGATTGTACGCCCTGAAGTACCGAGGGTGTTCGGCTCTTTTAGTAATATGTTAAATTTATGAAGGGCGACCAGAACGAGACTCGTAAGGTCATAACGGGACACGTGACGGGGGTGTTTCTAATGAAGTATAATCCGTACTTACGTTTCAATCAAATGCACGAAGTTGTCAAGCATACCTCTGGCTGTACTGTTCATTTGGCACACAAGTAGTCCCTTTATTACCCAGTAGGTATCCCTAAATATAGATTAACAAGTAAAAAAAAAAAAAAAAAAACAACAAAATATTCAATATGGTGGCCCCATCAATACCACTAGACTTCATTACTGAATAGATTTCATTAAACAATGTTTACCACCATGTAAGTATCCCTAAACATGAAAATATTCAATATGGTGGCCCCATCCAAAACAAAGAAAGTCACACAGAGTAGATATAGGCCTCCCGAAATCTCCCGCCTGGTAATATGTCGAATGTACAGTACATTATCCAGTCTGGTAAAGAATTACGTACCAGTAATAGGTCTCCCGAAATCTCCCGCCTGGTACTGTGATATATGTATACATTGTCCAGTCTGGTAAAGAATTACGTAATAGTAATAGGTCTCCCGAAATCTCCCGCCTGGTACTGTGATATATGTATACATTGTCCAGTCTGGTAAAGAATTACGTACCAGTAATAGGTCTCCCGAAATCTCCCGCCTGGTACTGTGATATATGTATACATTATCCAGTCTGGTAAAGAATTACGTACCAGTAATAGGTCTCCCGAAATCTCCCGCCTGGTACTGTGATATATGTATACATTATCCAGTCTGGTAAAGAATTACGTACCAGTAATAGGTCTCCCGAAATCTCCCGCCTGGTACTGTGATATATGTATACATTATCCAGTCTGGTAAAGAATTACGTACCAGTAATAGGTCTCCCGAAATCTCCCGCCTGGTACTGTGATATATGTATACATTATCCAGTCTGGTAAAGAATTACGTACCAGTAATAGGTCTCCCGAAATCTCCCGCCTGGTACTGTGATATATGTATACATTGTCCAGTCTGGTAAAGAATTACGTAATAGTAATAGGTCTCCCGAAATCTCCCGCCTGGTACTGTGATATATGTATACATTGTCCAGTCTGGTACTGTGATATATGTATACATTGTCCAGTCTGGTAAAGAATTACGTAATAGTAATAGGTCTCCCGAAATCTCCCGCCTGGTACTGTGATATATGTATACATTATCCAGTCTGGTAAAGAATTACGTACCAGTAATAGGTCTCCCGAAATCTCCCGCCTGGCACTATGAAGGGATTGGGCAGATAGAATAAAGAATATCTCTCAGGGTGCTTCAACACTTCGGGTTTAATCTGAAACCAAGTAATGCAGAAATCTTTAATCTACACTACAAGCCGAATTAGTCAGTTTGTTGTCGAATGACTGAGATCCTAGGGAACTCTCAGATTTACGGGGAACGATGTTAAGCGACCCTCTATATTTCTATTAAATGACACTTAGTAACTAAATGTTTTGTTAGAGCGAAAAGTCTGAAATATTGACATGATAATACCCGGATGTTGTACATGTCGATATCATAAGACATAGAAATTACACAACAATTGTTGTTGTATGTGGTATTTCATTCACTCGAGTTATTTTTTAATAAAAAAATACAAAAACATAAACTTCACCGTGTCAAATAAACAGCTGAAAAATACATATTCTGAGGATGAATTGAACAATCTGTTTACGACGTTAGTTGGGGTGTATATATCATACAAGCAGTAGATTGCTGCAAATTGACCAAGGTTTACATGACAGGTGTCGTCGATGAAGCAGAAGACGCTTACTCTTCCGGAACACCTGGTCTTATTCTCCTTGTACTTTTCAGGAGTTTCCGTGTAAATCGTTCTTTTAATCATGTCTTTGCCCTGATTTTATGGAATTTGAGTTTGGGTTATGATTATGATGCCATGTTGGTATTTTGTTGTTGTTTATTGATATGCAGAGCTGACAATTTTAGTAACACATCAAAACATTACAATCCATTACAAATCAAAGTAAGAAATAGATTGGTTAGTTCTTGTCGACGTTATAAAAGGATAGAAATTCATCTAAAAATAAGACCATTACAAAAACAATCGTGAACTACTTAAAGCGCGTATAAATTTCCATGAGTGCGTAAATCGCCTTTCCGGTCCTCTTTAAAACTGATCAAAGACTGGAAGGTCCTATACCACAAATGGTAAATATGATACATTTAACCAGCAGCCACCAGGTTTACAAAATCGTCCGAGATTGGAATAACATAACGCATTGTGTAAAATGTAATATGCACGTATCTGGGTAAATTCACGAATCCTACTGACATTAGTTTGAAACGAAAATTTCACATTTACCGGAAAAAGGGTACCTTTGTTTCCTACAATGATCATATTTACTACGGTAAATGTTGTGACTTTCGATAGTTCATGATTTTTAGTTCAAACAACTTTAAACAAAACGAATATGCTTTTTTCTAATGGGGTTATGGAACAGATAATTTCTCAAGTGATATTTCTTTTTCGCGATTATATTTCATTGTCGAAAATACTCATTGAAAAGGACTAATTGTAATATTGTTGTGCATGATAGGCGATAGGCAAGATTTAATGGGAAAGGACCAACCGATAGTGGTTTTGGAATCCAGAATTTTGGTAAAAACGTAATATTTGTTACTAGGAATGATTTGTCACCTACTTACCTTCCTTCCCAAGTCCTTCCATATATTACAGAGATCCCAGGCAAAGTCGTACAGGAGTGGATCGGTAATGTTGTTGAGAAAAGACGGTCTGTAAAAATGAAACGCAAATATAGTAAAAGGAATCAAATATAGTGTTGTTGTGGTGCCGTGACCAGTATTACTGTTCTGAAACCCTCTCCCAGTTGTATACTGTTTTTGTGATCGCAGTTTCGTGATTAATCACTGTCATGGAGACGAATAAAAAACTTTTGCGGATGTTCAGTACTGAAGATATAGTAGATAAGTTGCAGAAGGAACAATAAGAAATTCCAGAAGTAAAAATAAAACATATATATCTAATGATATAATGGTGGTAATGACTCCCACATTGGTCGCCTCCATCAACCAAAAGGCGACCAATGTGAGTAAATATTTTTTTTCGCGATAATCATCATTCGGAGGCAGGTTCATGTATGAGTGGCTTGTTCATTGTTCTAGTTATTATTTTATGTTTTAATGACACATTATCTTGGGAATATTTATTGTGAAATACGTTTTTCGAAAATCTATAGAAAAAAAACCTCTCCACAACTTAGACGTGAGAAGCAAGCAGTTTACATAGCAACAATCACACACTCTGAAGGATCACACGAGTACCACCACGATACTAATGGTATCAGCTGAGCGACCGAGGTATGTAATTATGACTATGACATATTCTAGTTTGATACCAAGGTAAACTATCCTGTAGTAACACTGGGGAGAAGTGTCGTACCCAGAGCGTCGTGTCCAAGGCCAAACTTGACAACACACACCGATCCATTTATCAGCTTTATATTGGTTAATAGATAGAACTTAATATCCAAATATTATTTCGAATGACCCAGTACATTTAGATTTAACACTTTATTTGATTATGTTGATAATGATGAATTGATATCAGTTGTATAATTTACTAAGATAATTAATGATCGGCTAATTCTAATGTCTCTCTGAACACTAAGACTTTTTTCTTTCTAATGTCTCTCTGGACACTAAGACTTTTTTATTTCTAATGTCTCTCTGGACACTAAGACTTTTTTATTTCTAATGTCTCTATGGACACTAAGACGTTTTTACTTTCTAATGTCACTATGGAAACTAAGGTGTTTTCTTTCTAATGTCTCTATGGACACTAAGGCGTTTTCTTTCTAATGTCTCTATGGACACCAAGATTTTTTTACTTTCTAATGTCTCTATGGAAACTAAGGCTTTTTCTTTCTAATGTCTCTATGGACACCAAGAATTTTTTACTTTCTAATGTCTCTATGGACACTAAAACCTCTCTATTTCTAATTTCTCTATGGACACCAAGACTTTTTACTTTCTAATGTCTCTCTGGACACTAAGACCTTTTTCTTTCTAATGTCTCTCTGGACACTAAGACTTTTTTATTTCTAATGTCTCTATGGACACTAAAACCTCTCTATTTCTAATTTCTCTATGGACACCAAGACTTTTTACTTTCTAATGTCTCTCTGGACACTAAGACCTTTTTCTTTCTAATGCCTCTATGGACACTAAAACCTCCCTATTTCTAATGTCTGTATCAAAACTACCTGACTTTTGACCGAGTACGGACCGTTCACTGAAGACATCTAGGTTTGCCCCATTGCAGGATAATCCAGAAACGTTTACATGATAATTTGTATTCCCTGTATTCCTCAGCATTCATTGGGTTCACAATAATGAAATGCTACTAGACGTATCCAGGTTATGACATTCCAGTGTGATAGCACTATAAAAGCGTTCGTCAGTAGTACCAACTTGTTACGATGATTCTCGATGTTACCAGGATGTAAATCATGCCGACCTCTATAATAAGCCTTTATAAAAAATAAACTTGTAGTTTATAATATCAACCTGTATTTGCTTACTATTATTTTCGAGTTTTTAGGGTATCCAAAATGATTGGCCACTGAGTTTTATTCCTAACTCGGAACAATACTGAGAAATTTCCGAATACCTCCTCAGTAGTTTTAGATGTATATTGGCAACAAACATATGCGATGAAACAGAGGGACGTACACGAAAATCCCTTCTAGACTGGTTGGGAACTTACCGCATCCAACACTTACATGCGAGGTAGGTCTGAAGGAACCCAGGGCATAAACTCGTCTCCTGGCCCGGCGAAGTACCTGTGTACAAATTCTGTCAGGTTTTCTTTTGGCACTTTGTCATCATATTCCATTTGTAATTTATCGAATTCCAACAAAATTGTCTCTAAGAAAAAAAAAACCGTGATTTTTATTAGTATTGCGTGTATACAAAAAGGATGTGAATTTGATGTTTTCATCCGGTGAAACACTAAAGTAAAATAAAGTTCAAATGATCGCTCCGAAATTTTAAAGAGTGTCATTGATGGAAAAATATATCAAACAGTACATTAACGGTTTAAGAAAAAACATACCAGTACGTCGTCAGGTGTTACAAATATGTCTATGTGTTACAAATATGTCTATGTGTTACAAATATGTCTATGTTGCAAAGACCTAACAGGAAATTTAACAAGTACTTAATACTGTTAACTTTTGTCGATCTTTTTTGATGAGAAAAAAAAATCTATTTCAATATCGGTTTTGATTATGATTAAAGCCAGAGACGTATATGTCTCTGTTTAAGCTATATTTACCTTCCGGATACTTCAGACTCATATCCACAAAAGTTTTGGAATCTTCAAATATTCGAGAAGTCTGTACAGCGTGTAGAATGGACCCGTTACAGTAGATATTGCTGGATAATAACAAAAGGTATAACTAATAGTAATGTTAGGAGCTATAACTTCCCACAACACGGCCTTCTTTTATGTTCTTTGTTTACAAAAGACACACAAGTGAATAACACCTTGTGATTTAGAGTTAGTACAGCCAAACAATGGAGTAAGCTACATCATACAGCTGGTTCGTCCATCTAGGACTCGTCAGTGATGCTGCATCATACTGCTGGTTCGTCCTTCTAGGACTTGTCAGTGATGCTGCATCATACAGCTGGTTCGTCCTTCTAGGACTTGTCAGTGATGTTACATCATACAGCTGGTTCGTCCTTCTAGGACTTGTCAGTGATGCTGCATCATACAGCTGGTTCGTCCTTCTATGACTTGTCAGTGATGCTGCATCATACTGCTGGTTCGTCCTTCTAGGACTTGTCAGTGATGCTGCATCATACAGCTGGTTCGTCCTTCTAGGACTTGTCAGTGATGTTACATCATACAGCTGGTTCGTCCTTCTAGGACTTGTCAGTGATGCTGCATCATACAGCTGGTTCGTCCTTCTATGACTTGTCAGTGATGCTGCATCATACAGCTGGTTCGTCCTTCTATGACTTGTCAGTGATGCTGCATCAAACAGCTGGTTCGTCCTTCTAGGACTTGTCAGTGATGCTGCATCATACAGCTGGTTCGTCCTTCTAGGACTTGTCAGTGATGTTACATCATACAGCTGTTTCGTCCTTCTAGGACTTGTCAGTGATGTTACATCATACAGCTGGTTCGTCCTTCTAGGACTCGTCAGTGATGCTACATCATACAGCTGTTCCGTTATCAATTATATATACTCAACAAAAAAAGAAAAGTCGAGTTGCACGGCATTTTGGTTGCAGTGTGAAGACAATTTACCAGTTGGTAAGTCGTTTAAACAAAACTGGGTCAACATCCGATCGTCCCCGAAGCGACCGACCCCGTAAAACAACCGCCAGGGATGACCGTCGTATACGATTGATACACTTGCGCAATCGATTCGTAACCGCAGTAGAGACTACAAGGACAATGTTTGGGCGTCGTGTGTCTCCCCAAACAGTCCGCAACAGGTTGAGGGCCTACCAATTGAAAGCGCGGCGTCCCTACACTGGTCCCAATTTGTTGCGACGTCACCGTAATAATCGGCGTAACTGGACCCGTGTTCACCGTCGTTGGGCCTTACGACAATGGAACAATGTTCTGTTTTCAGATGAGTCCAGGTTTTGTCTGCAATACGGTGACGGAAGGCGCTGAGTGTGGAGGCGATGAGGGGAGCGTTTTGCGAACTGCTGCGTCGCAGAACGGGACCGCTTTGGCGGCGGAAGTGTAATGGTTTGGGGTGGTATTTGTGGGGGGACTCGTACCAGGCTTGTTGTGTTAAATGGCAATTTAACCGGCATTCGATATCGGGACGAAATTTTAAGACCAGTGGTTCTTCCATTCTTAAGACGCCATGGCGTTGGCGCCATTTTTCAACAGGATAACGCACCAGCGCACACCAGTCGCGTCAGCAGAACTTTCTTGCAGCAGAATAACGTACAGGTGTTAGATTGGCCATCTAAATCACCTGATTTGTCACCGATTGAGCATGTCTGGGACGTTCTTGGGCGACGCGTGAGAGAACGTTAAAATCAGCCGTCAAACTTTCAGGAGCTGGCCCAAGCCTTGATCGCTGAATGGAACAACATCTCTCCTCGAATTATCCGCTGGTTTGCGTGTTCCATGCGACGACGCTGCAATGCTGTTTACTTCGCAAACGGTGGCCATACCCGTTACTAATGGTGTTACCTTTGAAATTGACCCCAATGTCCATTACAGTCGAATAAAATCAACTGAACGCAAAGTTTTATAATGAACCATGACTGCAGTTTTATCAGAATTGATCAATTACTTTATTCGTACATGGTAAGGATTTATGAAGGGGTTAATTAATTAATCACAGAATAAAGTAGTTTTACCTTTCTTTTTTTGTTTGGTATATATGCTAATCTGTTCACCAAATGGTTTTTGTCTGTTAATACACATAATTCTAAATCTTAAGTAAAGTATGAAATAGGTCATAATACTTTTATCTACGTACTTCTTTCTGAACAGTGTGGTGTTCAGCGTGAGTGACAAGGGAAAGCTGCCATGCTTTCAACAAAATCAAACCCCAAATCGATTTCATCAGGGAAAATCAAAAACAAATTAAAAATATATACGTAGACAATTGAAAAAAGCAAGGAAAACGAAATCATTGATTTAGAAGGAAAATGATTCACACAACGTAACCATCAGACATACAAACAAACATCCCACACATCTAACTTTATATCACACAACGTAACCTTCAGACATACTATCAAACATCCCACACATCTAACTTTATATCACACAACGTAACCATCAGACATACTAACAAACATCACACATCTAACTTTATATCACACAGCGTAACCATCAGACATAGTAACAAACATCCCACACATCTAACTTTATATAATACAACGTAACCATCAGACATACTAACAAACATCCCACACATCTAACTTTATATCACACAACGTAACCATCAGACATACTAACAAACATCCCACACATCTAACTTTATATCACACAACGTAACCATCAGACACACTAACAAACATCCCACACATCTAAATTAAAATCACACAACGTAACCATCAGACATACTAACAAACATCACACACATCTGACTTTATATCACACAACGTAACCATCAGACATACTAACAAACATCACACATCTAACTTTATATCACACAACGTAACCATCAGGCATACTAACAAACATCCCACACATCTAACTTTATATCACACAACGTAACCATCAGACACACTAACAAACATCCCACACATCTAAATTAAAATCACACAACGTAACCATCAGACATACTAACAAACATCCCACACATCTAACTTTATATCACACAGCGTAACCATCAGACATACTAACAAACATCCCACACATCTAACTTTATATCACACAACGTAACCATCAGACATACTAACATCCCACACATCTAACTTTATATCACACAACGTAACCATCAGACATACTAACAAACATCCCACATCTAACTTTATATCACGCAGCGTAACCATCAGACATACTAACAAACATCCCACACATCTAACTTTATATCACACAACGTAACCATCAGACACACTAACATCCCACACATCTAACTTTATATCACACAACGTAACCATCAGACATACTAACATCCCACACATCTAACTTTATATCACACAACGTAACCATCAGACATACTAACATCCCACACATCTAACTTTATATCACACAACGTAACCATCAGACATACTAACAAACATCACACATCTAACTTTATATCACACAACGTAACCATCAGGCATACTAACAAACATCCCACACATCTAACTTTATATCACACAACGTAACCATCAGACATACTAACAAACATCCCACACATCTAACTTTATATCACACAACGTAACAATCAGACGTACTAACATCCCACACATCTAACTTTATATCACACAGCGTAACCATCAGACATACTAACAAACATCCCACACATCTAACTTTATATCACACAGCGTAACCATCAGACATACTAACATCCCACACATCTAACTTTATATCACACAGCGTAACCATCAGACATACTAACAAACATCCCACACATCTAACTTTATATCACACAGCGTAACCATCAGACATACTAACAAACATCCCACACATCTAACTTTATATCACACAACGTAACAATCAGACGTACTAACATCCCACACATCTAACTTTATATCACACAGCGTAACCATCAGACATACTAACAAACATCCCACACATCTAACTTTATATCACACAGCGTAACCATCAGACATACTAACAAACATCCCACACATCTAACTTTATATCACACAGCGTAACCATCAGACATACTAACAAACATCCCACACATCTAACTTTATATCACACAGCGTAACCATCAGACATACTAACAAACATCCCACACATCTAACTTTATATCACACAACGTAACCGTCAGACATAGTAACAAACATCCCACACATTTTTTTTTTTATAATTTTTTATTTTTCAAAGATTTTTCAAAACATAAATGTTTCACTTGCAGCCTTTCAAAGCCACACATGCCCTCACACACCAATACACAGACACGCCATACAATTTAAGGGCCTAACATCATTTTCACTCTAAATTGTACATAACATATCATTATCATTCGCAAAGAATTACATGTATCAAACAAGCACCAATCCTCATCATCATCATCAAACATCAATCATCATAATCATCATCATCAAACATCCAGACTATTAACCAACAGAAAATATAGGTGGCTACGGAATTTGGCAGCCCATACCTTCTATGGGATGAGTACACACACACACACTCACACACCCTCTCTCACACGTATATACACACACATCCTCACAAGATCATACACACATTACATATGACAGATGGGAAAGGGTGAGGCGGAGGGGAAGGAAAGAAGGGGCAATGGATTGAAGAGGGAGAAGAGAGAAAGAAACAAGCTGGAGGGCTTTATCAGATACTGTCTATTTTAACATTTACAGTTAATATATAGGTCAAAATGAGGAAAATGAAATAATGGTTGAAATTGTGGTGATGTCAAGGTCAATGGAGAAAGTAGCTCAAGATATAATTTATAAGTCCAAAACAGGTTTCCATTTTTTCCAGTTGTTTTCAAAATTCCTTTTTATGTGACAATTTTTAGAGGAAACAATATATTTTTGTACTCGGAAGTGATCTTTTATTGTATTTATGAGACCATTTAAACTTAGAGTTTTGTGCAGACATCTTGTCTTGTATATATATTGTTTAATAATAATCAAAATTTCATTATCTACTACATTAGCCGTAGGAGAAAGAATACCAAAGAGATAAGTTTCTTTGTTCATCCAAAATGGAATAAAGAAAAGGTTGATTAACGATTCAAATCTCTCTAACAGTGTCTGCACCTCGACAC